TTATTTAGTTAATTTCATCTTTAAATAATCCAAATGATCCTATTCCATTAATTTATGAAGTATTTAATTATTCTTATGAGGATTTATCAAATCTTAAATTAGACTACATAACTAAAGTACAATTTCTTTATCTATTAATTAGAGATATTGATTTATCTCTTATTGTATTTTAATTCTTAACATTCTACATAAATGGATTTTTGAGAAATGTAGGCATCATGGATTTCTTCAAACTAATATCTTATGCTTATTATACATGGCCATATTATTTAGTTTATAGAAATCTATTTCACTTTCTATCTAATCATCAGAAATAAAGAATTTATGTTTTAATAGACTATTTGCTGACCATCTAAATTCAGGATTTTTAGATAGCATTTTAATTAAAAGATCTTTTTCGATATCATTTAATTAATCATTACTAAATTTATTAAGATTGATATCACATTTTCTATTAAATTCTAATTATTCCTTTCTATCCTTTTTTTCAAATAAAGGTTCTCCTATTAATCTAAGATTTAAATTAAATATTTACAAAACATATAATATTACACCAGCACTAAATATATCACATAATACTGTATATTTAGCATAATCAGAATCTTATTCTAAAATTTCTGGAGCAACAAATCCTGGAGTACCACATTTTGGATATGTATATGGATGAGAATCTACTGATTATGCTAATCCAAAATCTGCTATAACTAAGGATTCTAAATCTTTATTCATAAATAATATATTTTCAGGTTTAAGATCTCTATGCATAATATTATGACTATGAATAAACGTTAGTCCTTCAAGTAATTATTTCATTATTATTTTTATATCAGATCTACTGAAAAGTGTTTGACGCTTTTTCATTAATGATAACAATGATCCTCCTTTAGCTAATTCCATTACTAAATAGTAATTTTAATTCCCTATATAAAGTTCATGTAATTATAAAATATTTTAATGTTTTATTTCTGAGAGAATACGCATAGTTTCTATTTCTTAAAGTAATTATTTATATCCATTTTTTTTCTCATTGATACGTTATTAATCAATGCATTTAGCTGCATATTATTTTTAAGTGTATAAATTTGTTAATTCCAGAACTGTTGCATATGATCCCTTCCCTAAAATTGACTCAGCTTGATATTCATCTTATATTTTGACCTAAAATACATAAAGAGCACATTTTTGTTTTAGTTCTCTAAGTTATTCATTAGTACCAAAATATTCAAATTGCTCTCCACCTACTTAAAATATTACTGATTTTAATTGGTTTTTCTTATAAGACCACTATATTCTCATATCTTAATTGATTTGGAATTATCGTTCAGGAATCTAAACAAATGGAGACTCAAAATCATATAATAAACTTATACCTTTCCTATACAAATTTGATTCTTAAACAAATAAATATACCTTGGACCTCTTCCAATAAATTTTTGTTTAATCAATAAACAATTATATATGCATTTATCATAATCTACTGTTTATAATTTTTTCAATCCTCCTTCATGAACAGTTTGAGATTTTTGTCTCATTTTTATTAATAAATTATTTTAATTCTTATCTAAATCAAATCCTACTCTTAATTTTAATCCCTAATATAATCCCTATAATCATTATTCATTAGATATTTTCAATTAATACAATCATTTTTGTTTTTTCAATATATTTTTTAAATGAAAAACAAAAATAAATTATCTGAAGAGAGTTCCGTATTTAGAAATGTTCCAACTGCTACTTAAGAATAGAATACAAGAAGAAATAGTTATTCTGTTTCTTCTAATAACACTGTAATCTAATAAATTTTCCATTTCTACACTAAATAATCATATTCTATAGGTGTAAATGCAACATTCGATAGATAATATTAAGAGAGTAATTAATTAAATTTAGCTAAATTCTTTCATTTTTGCAGAGATTTTAACATTAAATACCTTAATAAATAAGAACTCTAAGATCTATTTAAGAAATGTGCAACTAATGGATAAAACATCAATTTATAATAGTTTGAATAATTATTTAGTTTGTTAGCATTATATCGAGGAATTGATTTGTGTGAATTTTATTAAGAACTTGGTTTTGATGTATGGTTAAAAAATTAAAAGAAAATGAAATTGCTAGGTAAACCATTTTACATGAAAGATGACAGATAAAGATTTACTAAAGATGAACTTCATTATTAATTTAAACTATTCCATCCTGATATCAAAGATGAAAATCTCATTAAAGAAATATTAAGACAAAGAAAATTGAAATCAGAAAATAATAAAAATAATGAAAGACAGAGAAAAAATAAATAAAAGTTGCAATTTGAACTAAAGTTTACTAGCGGAACTGAATTGATTGAAAAATATCCTGAAAAAATTCAATTAATATAATAGCTTTAAAGGAGAAAGGTAACACAACACGTTAGTAACTTTAAACCTTTAACTAAGCTTGCATATAGTCTAAATACACCATAAGAATAAAATTAATAAAAGAAAACTCCTATTGTCACATGGGATGCCCTTAATGCTATTGTACCTAATGATGATTTAATATTAAGTTTGATTGGTCCATATAAAGAAGAAGATTAATATTTAAAATAACTTGAAATAGTAAATAATTAATCAAATAATTAATACTCTACATTCATTTAGAATAATAGTAACCTTTCACATAATATAAGATCGATGTCTGATTCTAATCCAAATTATAATAGAGATAATAATTAAATTAAATCAGAGAGATAACATTAAGTAAAATTTAATTATCAAGAATCCCCTAGAATAAATTCACATAAAAGATACAAATTATTAGAATAATCTCCAAAATAAATAGATTTATCAAATATATCAAATTAATTTGATAAATCTCCTTAGAAAACAAAATTAAATATCTCAATACTTAAAAGAGCAAATGAAATTTAACAATTAGAAGGCTTAAAATAAAAGTATCTATTAGAAAAAATTTTGAACAAATAATTAAAGAAAGAGTAACTCAATAAATCAAATGTAATTCAAATATGATGAGAATTTTTATATTAATAAGTTTTGAATGCTCAACATTAAAACTACTTAAATAAATTAGATATTTTATTTTTTTAATGAATTAAATAAAGATTATAAAATATTTTTGAATAATTCAATATATAATTCAATTTTAAATACGATATCCTTAATTATTAATAGTAAAGTGTATAACAATACTTTTTTAATTATTTCTAATAATTGATAATAAATTGAAGTAATATACTATCCAAAAGTTTAATGTATTCAGTTTAATTAAATAAAATATTGTAAATGTAAATCACTCAAATAAAGTAATCCTTTAATAGAAATTTTGTTGACTATTTTCTAAAAATATAAAAATTAATTAATTTTAGATTATTTGTTCACATATTACAATTTAATTATTAATATTAATTCAAAAAAATAATATCTTTTTTCTATTGTTTAATATATAATTATTCTTAAATAGTAATCGTACATTTCTATTATGATCATTTTTTGTAGAATTCAATAATTATTTATTTATTAAAATTCCATTATAAAGAATATTAGAGATGATTGAATGAATTAGATATTTAATACTATAAAATAGATTCATTTTATAGAAATAATCAATTTTTAATTTTTGTATTCATAGTCAGAGAATACTGCTATGATTTTTAAAGTTTCTGAAATATTCATCATTGTGATTTCTAAACTATCAGCAGCTACAATTTTAATTTCTAAATTTATAAGAAATGAATTACCAGTGACTTTAGCAACAAGTCTCATCATTTCTGATATTTCCATAGCCTCAATTACACCACTAAGAATGATAGTTTTTGATAAAGGAACAATTAATTTTGGACTATTTGGATTATAGTATATCATATATTCATCTGAAATGGTAGTTGGTTGTAACTGTTGTAAAGGGTGATAAAAAATTCGCCACTAAAAGGTTAATATATTTTGATTACTTATTGATCGAAAAATTAAATATTATTTAAATATTCTTTGGCAATTTGAGCAAATTCTATAGTTTAGTATCTGACAAAGACTCTTTGCATTTATTTTTCATATAGAAGTTCTTCGACATTCCCAAATTTGTTAAAAATATTATATAGCATTTTAGCAGTAACTCGATCATCGATAGATGTCACTTTAATAATTTTGGATGGTTTTTGAGTGATCACATTTTAAACATCTTAAGATATTTATGGTCCTTGTTATTTCTGCTAATTCCATATGTCAATGTCATCATCAGAATCTGAATTCAATAAATTGTTAATTTCATCATTTCTGGCAGGAGTGAGATTTCTTTAAGAAGTTTATGTAAAAGTACGAGTAAATGATTCAATCTATTATCTAAGCACATTGGGATCATCAGTATTAGAGTGCTTCATTTACTCTGAATTTGTGCTGCTTGCTTAAGTGTAATCTGTTCCTCGAGATTTGTCCACAACTTCTAGATCAAGATTTTTAAGGCGAGAGAAATGGATGGTAAGTCTAAACTTATTTAAATATACTTACTTTCCTTCACCTTCAGCTAAATATTTGCCAAGTTTATCTTTTCTAGCTTCTATGGCATGTTTCACATCATAATATTCAACAAAAGCTTTGTTTGCCTTGCCTCTTTCGAAAATGAGAATTTTTTTGATATCACCATATTTAGCGAATTGCTCAAAAAGAAGATCGTTACAAAGTGGAAAGGTTGGAGATAGTTATGTTATAACAAGAAGCAAAATTTTGCTGGGTGGATCTCTTGAATAATTATTCATAAAATAAATATTTTATGATCGAAACCTATATATTAAGAACTCAAGACTCAGAATTTAACATTAAATAACAATAAACCTAATAAATTATTATAATATTTTATAAAATGAAAAATGTTGCAATTGGATATAGTTTTTGATTATTAATAAGTTTGTTCAATGTTAAAGTGTTAATTAAATATTATGTTTCTTATTAATTCAATAAGCATTAAAAAAGTTATATATATATCCTTTGTGGCAATTAATATAAATATGAGTAATGATTAAATTATAATAATACACTATATAATTAATATCATAAATATATATAAAAATTAATCTACAATTTTCATCATCACACTTCTCGATCAAAAGTTATGATAAAATTTATGGATTTGCAATCCCTAAAATAAATTACCCTTTAAAAAAGAATGCATTATCAAAATAATTATTAAATTGAATAAATCAATAAGTGAATTAGCAGCTTCAAAAATATAAATAGTGTCATACTTAGATCATCAAATATAAGAACATTTTGAGCTAGAGCAGATTTGAAGGAGAAAATCGGATTGAGTAACTTTGAGATAGAGGAGATACTTTTTTATTAAATTGCCTATTTGTTTCAATCAGAAATATGAGTGATAGAAAAGATTTGCATTAGGAGGAACTTATAATTGGCTTTGGTTTGCGATTTAAATATAGAAACTAAATTATCAATATTGAGATTACCAGAAACAAAGATTAACAATAATTAGGAGCAGTAATTTATCATATTATCAAAAGATGGAACTTTAATAAAGTTTGGTGTAATTAGCAAAAGAATTAATCTTCACAGGATGATTAAGTGCAGAAGATTCATTAAAAATAAGTTTGGTTTTTTATGTAGAGAAAGATGGATAATAAGCTAATAACAGAGCTGAAAATATTAATTTGAGTAATAATTAAGGGTCTAATAGGAATGAGTTTAACAAAGAAAACAATAAATAGAGGAATAAAAGTAGATATTAAGAGTAGATTAAAAATTGAGGATTGATTATATTATTAAGTTTGCCATTGTTAGGATAATTTAGAAGGGTTAAAAGCATTTGGAGAAAAGATGAAACCTTAATGTTAAGGAGAATGAGTATAATAATAATATCTTTATTATGGCGATGTCAAATTGCATATTTAAAATTTGAAAAGAATATATAAAGAAATTTAGTAAATAAATTAATAAAGACATGAGTACGAATATGAGAGGATTGAATACATTCATTACTGACATCCGTCACTGCTCAAATAAGGAATAAGAAGAGAAAAGAGTTGAGAAAGAATTGTAAAAAATCAGAGGCAAATTTACATCTTAAAAAGGATTGGCTGGCTATTAGAAAAAGAAATATGTTTGGAAATTGCTCTATATCTATATTTTAGGTAATAAAAATAAGTATTATTCTTTTATTAGGTTATGAAGTTGACTTTGGATAATAAGAATGTGCTTTCTTAATTAATTCTTCAAAATTTAGTGAGAAATATACAGGATACGTAGCCACTTCAATTCTGGTGAGCGAAAAAACACATGATTTATTTACATAAGTAGCATCTTCCATTAGAAATGATCTACAATCTGTAAATGAAATCAATCAGTCATTGGCCTTAACTATGGTTGGAACACAAGCACCATAGGAATTGGTCAATGCTTTGCATTAGGATGTCTAGAAATTGGCATTGACAGAATCTAGATCAACATTTCATGTCAGAAAGAAGGCATGTGCTTGTTTACTTAGAATGTATAGAAAATATCAAGATAAATTTCAACCATCATAATGGGCTTAAGGAATTTCATAAATGTTTGAATCCAGGTATTTTATACAATTTATTCTTAGACATCCTTCATTAGGATTTATGACTGCTGCTACTTCATTATTAGTAGGAACATGTTAGTTAGACAACCCATCAATATTTGAAGATTGTACACCTAAATTAATTAAATTGCTTCATAAAATTGCAATTTAAAAAGATAGTCCTGGAGATTACAATTATTATGCTACACCTGCTCCATGGTTGTAGGTTAAGATTTTGAAGGCTCTTTCATTTTTCTCACCACCTCCTCCTTCAACTGATTCTCATCGTTAATTGACAGAATGCTTGACAAAAATTATCAAAAAAACAGAAGTCACAAAAAGCATTAATAAAAATAACGTAGATCATGGTATTTTATTTGAAGCTGCAAATCTTGTTATTACATATAATGGTGCAGTAGGAATGGAATTGAAAAATGATATTTTGAAATTACTTGGAATCTTCATATCAGTTAAAGAACCCAATCTAAGATATTTAGGATTAGAAACAATGTGTAAATTTGTTAAACTTGCAGGAGATTCACTTGAAGATCATTTAAATACTATTTTTAAATCATTAAGAGATAATGATATATCTATTAGAAAAAGAGCTTTAGATTTATTATATTTAATAAGTAGTCCTAATACTAGTTAAAGAATAGTAGAAGAATTATTAAGTTATGCTGAAAATGGAGCAGATTTATAAATTAAAGATGATTTAATATTAAAAATAGCTATTTTATCTGAAAAATTTGCTGATAATTTATATTGGTATATAGATGTTGTTGTTAGAATGATAAATTCATCAGGAGATTTTGTAACTGAAGATATTTGGTTTAGAATCATTTAAATTATAGTAGGATTTTAAAAAGAAGGCAATATAGAATTATAAAAATATGCAGCAACTAAATTGTTTTCATAATTATCCATGCCTCATGTTCATGAAACTTTAATTTGTATTGGAGCATTTATTATTAGTGAATATTCTTAAATGCTAGTAGAATAAAATAAAGAACCTTAAAAACTATTTGATATTCTAAACAAACATTATACATTTAGTACTGAAAGAAGTAGATAAATGTTATTAAATGCCTTTGTAAAATTAGCATGCAAATATCCAGAACTAAAAGATCAAGCAATAATGATATGTTAAATTGCTGGAGAACATTTTGACCCAGATATTTAATAAAGAGGGATTGAGTATTTCTCTTTATTAATGGAAGATGATAAACTTTTAAATTAAATAGTTGTTAAAATGCCTCCTTATTCAGAATAAGTTCAATAAAATAACCCTCTCACTAAAAGAATATATGTTATGGTTTTAAATTCAAAGGAATAAAAGGATCCAACTTTATTAAATTAGGCTAGAATTTAAGCTAGTCAAGAAATAGCTATGGCTGAATAAAAATTATAAAACAAACCTGAATAACTTTAAAAACATCTCAGTTGGTTGAAAGCATGTCCATATTTGAATTAATTTTAAGGATAAATAGCTCTTGAAGGAATTAATATTATGGTTCCTCCTTCTCCAGAAGATAATAATTTAAAGTCTCCTTCTATTAGCAATTTAAATGAAATTAAAGTGTTATTAACTACATAAGTTGGAAAAGTAGTCGATAAACCTGGAGAATTAGTAGTATAATATAAATCTGAGATAAGTGGACATCTAGGAAAAGTATTCAAAATAACAATATATTTAGGTCTCTTTCTAATTTGAAGGAACATCTCCAATTTAAAATCTATCTATACTTGTTTCATAAACTAATGGTATGTTGTTCAACATTTTGCCAGTAAAGCAAGGTGACTTTCCTTAAGTCATGATGCAAGTTTTAAGTTATGATGGAAATATGACTTTACCTATTGCATCTATTTTTTATGAATAAAATGGATAACAAAAGAAACATGAATTCCATCTACCTATATATACTAATAAATTTGTTTAACCTGTTGATATGCCATATGATAAATTCACTAAATTCTTTGACGATTTTACGTATATACTTTATAATAATAATTAGAAACAATCTTAGCAATTAAAACTATTTTAAATTAGATACTTTTATAAGAAATACTGCTCCATCCAATATCCCAATGACTGAAGTACTCAAAAAGGCTGGAGGACTACTTTCTGTTGGATTGAATTTGAAAGCGTAATCTACTTAATATACTGTAGGCAACCCTTCCCTTCTCTTGAAAACTTACAAATGATTTGGGCTTGTGGATAATTAATGATTAAACCACCAGAATAAAACAATATTTTAAATCTACCAATTATGGTAGTCATATCATCATTAGATTAAACAACAGAATTTTTAAGAGTGGGTATTAGATGTGGTGGAAATGGAGAAATAGCTAAGAACTATTTAAAATTAATTATGCTCTATCTGGGGTGATCAATATTAAATCATATAAAAATATTTATATTTGTCTTACTTTTTTTTAAGTTAATAGAATCACTATTTTTATTTAAAATTAATGATTACTTTAGATTATGCAGCTGTGAACTTTCTTAAGAATTGAATCCAAGCTTATCAATTGAAGTCCAGAAAAATTAATCTCCAGAAACATATTCACCTTTCTTCTTTAATCAAGTATACATTTTTCTTAGAATTTTTGTTTTATTGGTTGAAGCCAACTGAAAAAGTCAAATACCCAGTCGAAAAAAATTGTATTTTTCCTCATAAACTAATTTCAGGATTTGAAAGCTAAAGAAGAATGTATATTTTAATTTTTTCATAAATTCAAACAGACTTGATTCAAGATACTTATGATATAAATTGTTTTTTTTAAACTAAATTGTGTGAATTCAAACCTATCTAGTCAAATAAGAAAATTAATAGATATTTTAAAGCGATAGTCTTAAAAATGATTAATTATTTAATGTTATAACGTAAATTTTATACAATTGAGCTCATATCATATATTTGACTCTCAATTTGCAAATAAATTTTAAGTGTTTATTTAATACTTTATGATCATAATTAAAATTTTAAATCAAAATAAATTTTTGTAATATTTTAAATATCAATAAAACTTAATTATTAAAGTTATGATTAGCATTACAATTTTTTAGGATATTTTTTTGTCGTAATTTAAAAATATTAATGTTTAATTAAAAAAAACAAAATTAAACTCAAAAAAAAATGTTTACAATTAATCAAGTATTGTAATTCTATTCCTCAATTTGTTAATAATATATGTCATTGAATATAACTAAATTGAAGTTAAAAGAAATTTAAACAAGCAATATCAATAAATTTCAAAACTAATTGCAAACCATATATTCTATTAAGTAAATTATAAGAAAACTGAAAAAAAAAAAAATACTACAATTTAGGTTGATGAATCACACCATAGATGAATTAAATAATACATGAATCAATAAATATAAATTAAGCTATGCTCTATGCAAAAAATATTTAAGGACTTTTTACAATATGTTCAATTAAAAAGGAATAGCATTTCAGATAAGAGCTTAAAATTTTTCTTAAAAGGTCGCATCCAAAAATAATTTTAGAGCAACTACTATATTAACAAAAGCTGATAGTATTTACATGATTTAAGAATTTTGCAAAATATAAGAAGAAAGATAATTGATGTATATTGATGAAATAGGGATCGGCAAAGATTTGATTGCACCTAGGGTTTGGTGTAACAAAAGATAAATTTTTAATATTTATCTATCAGAGATTCTAACAAGAATCAATATTATTGGAGCAATGAATAGAGAGTTTAAAGAGCTAAATTAGTTGAAAATTTTAGATAAAGCTTATTCAAATTTGTAATAAAAAATATGGGCTAAGAAATTATGTATTTCTAATAGATAATGCTTCCGTTCATAAAGAAAATTTTTTTACTAGAGATGCTTTAAATTTGAATAATGTGTATTTATAACCATGTTCACAACAGTTGAATCCAATTGAGCATGCATAGTGTGAATAAAAAGTAAAATATATAAATAAAACTGGATAACAAGTTTGAAATTGAATTAAGAGATTCATCAATATTTAAGCTAAATTAGTNTACTTATGATATAAATTGTTTTTTTTAAACTAAATTGTGTGAATTCAAACCTATCTAGTCAAATAAGAAAATTAATAGATATTTTAAAGCGATAGTCTTAAAAATGATTAATTATTTAATGTTATAACGTAAATTTTATACAATTGAGCTCATATCATATATTTGACTCTCAATTTGCAAATAAATTTTAAGTGTTTATTTAATACTTTATGATCATAATTAAAATTTTAAATCAAAATAAATTTTTGTAATATTTTAAATATCAATAAAACTTAATTATTAAAGTTATGATTAGCATTACAATTTTTTAGGATATTTTTTTGTCGTAATTTAAAAATATTAATGTTTAATTAAAAAAAACAAAATTAAACTCAAAAAAAAATGTTTACAATTAATCAAGTATTGTAATTCTATTCCTCAATTTGTTAATAATATATGTCATTGAATATAACTAAATTGAAGTTAAAAGAAATTTAAACAAGCAATATCAATAAATTTCAAAACTAATTGCAAACCATATATTCTATTAAGTAAATTATAAGAAAACTGAAAAAAAAAAAAATACTACAATTTAGGTTGATGAATCACACCATAGATGAATTAAATAATACATGAATCAATAAATATAAATTAAGCTATGCTCTATGCAAAAAATATTTAAGGACTTTTTACAATATGTTCAATTAAAAAGGAATAGCATTTCAGATAAGAGCTTAAAATTTTTCTTAAAAGGTCGCATCCAAAAATAATTTTAGAGCAACTACTATATTAACAAAAGCTGATAGTATTTACATGATTTAAGAATTTTGCAAAATATAAGAAGAAAGATAATTGATGTATATTGATGAAATAGGGATCGGCAAAGATTTGATTGCACCTAGGGTTTGGTGTAACAAAAGATAAATTTTTAATATTTATCTATCAGAGATTCTAACAAGAATCAATATTATTGGAGCAATGAATAGAGAGTTTAAAGAGCTAAATTAGTTGAAAATTTTAGATAAAGCTTATTCAAATTTGTAATAAAAAATATGGGCTAAGAAATTATGTATTTCTAATAGATAATGCTTCCGTTCATAAAGAAAATTTTTTTACTAGAGATGCTTTAAATTTGAATAATGTGTATTTATAACCATGTTCACAACAGTTGAATCCAATTGAGCATGCATAGTGTGAATAAAAAGTAAAATATATAAATAAAACTGGATAACAAGTTTGAAATTGAATTAAGAGATTCATCAATATTTAAGCTAAATTAGTGATGAACATCTAAATAAATATTACCAATGGAGATTTAAAATGATTATGAGATGTTTGGAAAAAGAAGGTTTATAAGAATGATAGTATTAATTGAAAAATTAATATTTAAACCTTTCTTAAAAAGTAGTTTTTAAAGTCTCAAATAAATGTAATTTGAAATTATTTCGTTTATATGTGATTGTTTGTAATTTGATACTTTTTTTAGATGAGTATCATTATTTTTATGATTTATATTCAATTTATTAATAAATAGTTTATAATTTGATATTTTTTATTAATTAATATAATAATTTTGATTTTAAAAAATCAATTTATTAATTAATAAATAAAAAATGGTTATTGATAATTTGACCAACGAGCCTTCAGTAGAGCTAGATTATGATTTGATACACCTTCTACAAAACTGTTCTATTTTTTCTAAGTATTTGGGTAGAGATCAACACCTGTTAAAATGAAGATTCCTTTAAAATGAATTCTAGCATATTATTCAATTATTATTATTATTATTTTCATTAAACCTTATCCATAAAGATATACTATAAATTTATTAAATATGATCTTTAGGATTTAGCATAAATTAATTTCTAAAAATATTAAAAATTGTTTTCAAAAATTTTAAACAATTTTAGAATTTTCATTTGTTAAATTCAATATTTGATTTTTGTTTTAAAATCTAAACGACAGTAATTAAAATGAAAATATATAAATAGTTGATTTAGAATGGGATCATAAAGTGAAATAGATATTTAATTATTTAATTATTTAATTAGAGTATTAAAATTTTATTTTGCTTTTAGAATTAAGTATTTACACTAGATTTAAATAGTATTAAAAATAATGAGTCTTAAATTATTTGCAATAATAATAGTAGGTAATTATTTAGTGAAATCATAAGCTAGCTAAGTTAAGAGTTAATTTTCAAAAATGTTTAAGAAGCCAAATCAATTAAGTACTTAAAGCGAAAGTTAAATCGAACAAGAGCTTTTGAAATTAGTCTCATTGATAATGAATGATTAATCAATTATAAATCCTATATATCATAAAATTGCATTTAATCCTTTTACCCTATTTCGTTTTATTTAAATTTTTATCATATAAACGTCAAGTCATGAATTGTTGCTTGATAAATACACATTACATCAATCTATTTGCATTTATTAATCCATAACTTAACTTCTTTTTATACTTATAACTTAATATCAAATTTAAAAAATACTACTTAGCTATCTCTAATTGCCATATTATTAATAAAATTCTACATAAAATTGGTTTGAATTGATTCAAAGATATTCAGAGCAACTTTCTTATTTACAATATATTGATAAAAGTCTCCTTTAGTAATACAAAAATTATTTACCAGAACTTATATCATAATTTAGGTCACATACATTGGTAATTCATTATTAATATTTAAATTAGATTTTAAGAATAATTGAGAAATTAAAATTTTTTTGGACATAATGATATTCTATAAAATATCGCAATTTTGGTTAAAGGATTTGGATATAATAGAAAATTAAAAAATATTAAATAGAAGATGAAGAAATAATGATATTTAGTAAGCAGGATTTTTTCTGTTAGCAATATTGTATGTTCTTAAGGGTTGAACATAATTTAAATGTTAGTAATATTTTTAATAAAAATAAAAGTTTAGAATGGGATTGTAAGATATATATATTTAACCTCTAGGGATATAAAAATGAGATTAGTATTGAGTAACACATTCATGTCACTAGTGGTTGTTTGTAATCTTGCTTATTACTCATACTTAAAAGAGAATGATGATAAGAATATTAAAGGAACTTCATTAATTACTAACATAACAACAACAGATCCTGATAAATATTCAAGCTACTTAAGTCTTTCAATTGCTGCTTTTTGCTTAATGTTAGTAGGATTTTTGATTGGAATGGTTCAACCATTTTTAAAATAGGCTGCTCTTACTTATGTTTAAGCTTTACTAATATTGACAGGATATGTTTGTTTGTTTGCTGGAATATTTATTCTAGATTCATTTTCTTATGGATTTAAAGATGGCGAACCTTTCAATTATTAAGTGGCTGAATTTTTTGCAATAGGAGGTGTTTTTATTTAAGGGATGGTAAATTCATGGAGGCAAAGATCTGTCAGTTGAATAATAATCATATAAATAATACAATAATATTACCATTGGATTAATTAAAGAAATGAATTCTCTTGATCGACTTAAATAGTAATTCTAGAAAACAACGAGTTCATTGTCAAATTTCCATAAGACAGCTGCTAATCTATAAAGATAGGCATATTTTTAAGGATAATATGATATTTTAGCACAAATACTATCATATCCATCTATGGATGGACTGATTGAATGGTTAAGAAAAAAAAGTGATGAAGTATTACAAATATTAGAAAAGAACAGTGTGAGATATTAAATATCAAAGCATCCTTTATTAACATCTGAGCCAGCTGCCCTTAAGATGAAGACTACTTTTTTAAAAGAGCCTCAACCTTAATATATTTAATAACAACCATAAATGTAAATGAATCAAAAATCATTTGAAGAAGAAGATGGCAATACTTATTATAAATAAAATAATAACCAATATGATTATAGGGAAAGAAGATAAGATTAAGAATTTGGAAACTTTTGAAATATGTTTTAATAAACTTGAATGTGTAATTGAATATAAAGAATATTATCTAATAAATGGATTATCATTTTTAATTTCTAGAAGCACTTTCTGGTTCATCACTACCTTCACTTTCACTACCATCTTCATCATCATCTCCTGCATGAAAATCATCATCATCATCATCTGAATCCATATTATTTGGATCTATGTTGGTTTTCTAAAATATTAATATATATAATATAAATACATTCTTTTTCTTTTATCTACTATCATCATCATCTTCTTCATCATCGCTATCATCCAAAGGAAGATGAGGTACTTCATCTTGCAATTTTCTTACAGCAATTTTTTTTTATTAGAAATATTAAGTCAAATTGTCAAGTTCATCTCTTTCTATTCCTGAAAATAATTGATTCTAATTTTTGTATACTATTTTCACATCGAAAAATTTATTTAAATTAGTTGATCCAATCTAAGATATCAAATAATATTTACTCTTTAGAAAATTACTTCTTTAATTTCTTCATGTTTTATGTGTAATACAGGCTTTTATAAATATATTAATGATTTTTCTAATGGAAATAGAAATCCAGAATGGGGACCAACTGAACATCTCAAACAAAATAGTCCATTCTTACTTTTGAAATTCTTAGGAGATACAACTTTAATTCCTGTTATTTCAGATAAGACTTCGCATACAATATCATAGAGTGGTCCAGAATATTCCTCTTTAATTCCCTTCCAACCAATTTCATCTAATTTTTGTCTACTGTATTTTAGTTTGATTTCATTTTCAAAATCCTTCTTAAATTACATTACCAAAAAATTGTATGTAGTTTGGCCTTACTTGAAAGGATTTTCTAAACCTATCACAAAAGATAGATTAATTTCATCAGGCATAGGTAGCAAAAAGAATCTTGAAATTCCCTTATAATCAGTTGTAAATTGATATGTATTTCCATGAAATCTGATATCTTTTTTAAAGAAATCCATTGTATATTTACCTCTAATATATTTATTAAATGAATTTATTACCTTGGTACAATTAAAGGTACATCATGTATGGTCAAAATTGAATCAGCACTACTCTAACCAATTTTTGCTTTAGTTAATATTTCATTTTGTAATTTCTATTAGAATGTTGGTTCAGCATCTTCATCTGCTTCATCTTCCTCTTCTTCCATGCTATTTTAATTGTCCTCATTTTCTTGTTTCTTCTTCTCTTTATCTTGTTTCAATTTCTAATTTATTTTAACTATCTTACCTGCTCTTGAGGTGGAATATAAAATCTTACTTCGCATAACATGTCATCACTAATAATTTAAGATTATTTACATACTTCTCACCATAATCATCTGTACTCAATTAAAGTACGATATCATTTTTCTAAGTGTTTGAATTTACAACTTTTTTCAGTGGCAATTTGATAATATTGCTCTGATTATATTTCATGCATAAATTTTTATCATCAATGGAAACCACACCCCAATTAGTGCCCTTGGTGCATTGATCTGACATAATTTAAATTATAATATTTATTAATTGGCGCATAAAAATATCAAAAAAATAAACCAATCCTATTTTCCTTTTATCTTTATTTTGTTTAATATCTTATTTTCCATCATTTTCAATCATATCACACTTCACTACCCTATTTTCATAAGAAAAAACATTTAATATCTTCCAAAAATTACATTATTCATTCTTAAAACATTCAATCTTTTGGGAACCTCTTATTTCTTATATTCTAACATGTGAATCAATTTTTTGTAAAAAAAGGACATACTAAATTATAATTAATTTTTTTCAAATATATTAACAATTTTCTATCAAATGTAGATCAATTACTAATCTCAACTATTCTTGATTATTTATGTCATCTATTTACTTTGTATTTAAATCAACTAATTTTGAAGATAAGTATACATAAAGTCTAGGAATTAGTTTTTAATTCTTAAATCTCTCCTATTAAGTCTTACTTGCATGTAGAGGAAATAGCATTATTTTGAAAAATTGTTGATAACAAATAATTTCAAAATTTACTCCATAGGGTTAGTTCATATGTGATGAAATTTCATAATATAAAAAATTTGAGATTGATTTTAACTATAGTAATTTTAGAAAATTAATAATTTCTAGAAATTTTTAGGATTAATGTTATTTCAAGAATTTAAGTCAATTATTAAAAATTAAGTTCCATATAAAACCTTAAGTAATAATAAGATAGGATAAAAATGGAATCGAATGATGATATTTTTAATAATTTCCATTTAATAAAAAATTATCAACAATTTTTTATTTAATGAGTCAATTTGCTCACTTCTTCTATCCAAACTGATGCAATCTATTAAGGTTACATTGAAGCTTGTAATTTAGCAAAACCAAAGTTTGATTTAAAAAATTCTACAACCTTGATTAATGTAATTGGAGATTATTCTTCAGAACAAGCAATTAATTCTATTTTTTATTTTTTTTCTGGAGTAATTTATTTAAATTTTTCCAAAGCTTATCTAGGATATCCATCGCCTCCATCAGTGTAAAAGAATATAGAATGGCTAATTATAAATTAATATATTTACGAATCGAATTTATCAAATTCTTTATTTTAAGAAATTTTCTCACAAGCAAGCAAAAAGGCTGCATTGAAATTAGTTCCACCACCTTAATATATTATCTAAGATTATTAAGCCTAAGCATTAGGAATTTAATAGTCAACAGCACATCTAGCTGAGCTATTGAAAATAATAATAGTAACCCTTGAATTAGGATTTTTTTGAATCTCAAAAAGAAAAGCCACCAAACCTTATTTAGCAGATTCAAAAGGTCTTCCATACATGGATCCAGAGTCATCTAGCATTAATATATAATGAGCTGTCTTTTAATTTCCTGAATTTGCTCCTAGCTCAACTTCCTACTTTGGAACATAAAATATATCTTTTCCAATTTCTTCTGTTAATTTTTTGCAAATCATCTGTCCAATATTGTTATTCCAAATCTTCATGAATTTTTCCTTCTATAAATTTAACTCATCTTTCGTGAGACAAGAAAATAACCATGTATTATATATTTATTTAATTTCTTTCCACTTTTTTATATTTTATGTTTCTAATTCTGATATGAAAAAATCATCTTGTATTTCTTCACAAGTATATAAAGAAGGATGACAACCAATTAAGACTCCACTCATGCCTAATTTATAATATAATAAATACCTCTTAATTAATGTCCATTTCTGCATTAATGTTAATGATTATTATCATCAATTTCTTAATCACATTTTCTTTTACAAATAGGACAGAATTCTAAACATCCAATTTATTTTAGTTGTAATGCATCTAAATCAGCTTAAACTTTAAGTTTTTCGAATTCAATCTGCATAGTGTCTAAACTTGAAATTGAATCTTTTATTTTCTTTTCAAAAGCCTTAACAAAATCTAACAATATTTATATTTCTGCATCTGATTTTTAAATTGGCATACATAAAGGAAAATCAAAAATATGAAAATCTTAAGTTTAGAATGCATCTCTTTTATCTTCTTTTATTTAATCTAATAAATTCTATTAAACTTATCCTTAAAGACAACTTTAAACTATTTTATATAATAATTCTGGAGCCTCATCAGGATTGTTTAACTATTTAAAGTAGTCTTATGCCTTTAGATCATAAGTGACAAAATCATGTAAATTTTTTGTGTTTGCATCAACTTTTTAAAGATGAGATTTCAAATCTTACCTTAATTTATTTGTTAATTTAATTTAAATTTCTGATTTAATATTAGTTATTTTGTCTTTAACATATTTTCCTATATAAGCACATTGATTTCTGATATATGATATAATTTATTCATCTGTAATATTTTTATCTGATCTTTCTAGAATTTCTTTGTCAAGTTTCTTCATTAAATCAAAGCTTGACTCTTTACTTTAAATGGCTATTATTTATTCTGCTTCTTTACAGTATTACTAATAACATCTTTAAGTTGCTTAATTGATGATATCTTAAGCTTAAGTTTATCCTCTAATTTTACTTTATTCTTTCTTATTTTATTAAATATCAGCCTTAAATTTAATATATTATTCGTCAGTTTAATCTTTCAATTCTTTAATATTACTTTCTATAGATTGATATAGTCCAAAACATAATATTCTCCACACAGTGAAAATGGCATAATAAAATAGACATCTCTCTCCTAGGTCATTTAAGATTACACCAAAATCAGAGAATTACATATTAAATTCTTTAATTTACACTTCAATTTTTTACATGATTCTTTTAATTTAACTAAAACTATATTTATTAACTTTGACATTTTCATTTTCTTGAATAATGGCATTTTTATTTATGTCAATAATTTCATCTAGTATCATTTAATGAATCTCTCCATACATTTTATTCCAGCCTTCATTATTATTTTCATTCATCAGATCTTAGACAACTTTTGCAATATTATTCTTAATTTGATTTTAATGCTAATAGTTATCCTTTTAATTCTAGATATAATGAAAAATATTATAAGATTAAAAATTTTCATTCACAATTATATCTTATTTCTTTTCCAATAGAAAATTATCATCTTAATTATAGGTTTTAATTAAATTGTTTAAATTATCAAATATATAAATGGTGTAATTTTTTTTTTAAACAATTTTTGCTAAGCCTTTACAATGTTAGTTAATGAAATTGATTGATATTTCATATTGTGTGTCATTGTAGTATAGTCTTTAATTAGGTTAGAAGCATTTAATGAGTTATTATGATATATCTGTCCCATACCAAGAATTTAAATTATTAAATATTTGATCAATATATTTTTCATCAATTTAATAGCCAAAAATAGTGAATTGCTCTAAAAATTATTTAATTGCTTATTTGCCTTGTTTTTTTTCAATATTGTAATATTATTTAATATCTTAATTCAAATCTGTTTTTATATAGTTATTAAAACTATTTTTTGTTATCCATTTTAATTCAATTTTATAAGAGTAGAAATTATTTATTTATAAAACATATTTGTCGTTAAGTTTGGCTATCTTTTTTGAAATACTTTAGCAAAAATTTTCATAATATTAGTAATTTTTATTTGTCTTTTCGACAACCATAAATTATTAAGTTTGTAATTCTGGATTAAATATCTCGAGTGAAGTTAAAAAGTCACCTTTTTCTGGGGCTTTTTTAATTAGCTTTTAATGATACTTTTATTTATAAAAAGGTTCATTATTTGTTTTCAATATATACTTTTAAAACTCTTATTATATAACTTCTAGTTATTTATCACAACACTCTTTAAACATCTCTTCTTATTACTTAATATGTTCATTTAAGATTTTCTCCCAAATTTCATTAAATTTCATTTTTATCTTGTTTTCGTTTTTTTTATATTTTTGTAATTCTTCCTCCTTTTTTAGTAACTCTTATATAAATCTATCAATTAAAATGAACCCCTTTTTTCTTTTATAAATTAGTTTCTTAAGTTTTGATTTCATTGTATATTATCAATTAACATGCTGCAATTTCACTCTTAATTCTATCCTTAACCATATTCACATACCTCGTAAAAACCTTTTTAGAAATTTTTTTTTCATTTTTGATGGTTGTTAATTTTTCAATAAATTCTTTCCTGATTTAATCGAATTGCCCATTCATATAATTGATTTGTTGTTTCTCTATTTCAGTCAATGCTTCAAGAGATAATTTTAAATTATTTTATTAAATACTCTCTTGAATATTTTAGATGAAATCATTTTATTTAGGAAACACATAATTATTCATGATTTCATTAAATTATTACCTCATAAATTGATTTTGTTAATGATATATTAATTGAGAAAATTCTATTAAATCAGGTAGGCTTGATATACTTTGCCAAGTTGTTTCAATCTTTTATATAAAATATTATAAATTTTCCATTTATCTTCCTTAATCATCTCCTCTACCAAATTTATCAACATATGCTTTAATAACTCTAATCCCATATTCATATGCTTCTTCAGAAAATGTTCCATTTATAATTAACTGGCGCCAATCTGCATAAATTCCGTCGCTTTCATTTTGTCTCCATAATTTTTCTGTAGATGCAAATCCTAAAATTTTGATATTTGCTTAAGTAATTCCAAGAATTTCAGTATAATCTATAACCTCATCTTCCTCTTTTTGATTACTGAATTCTGTACTTAAACTTGTTACAATAGATTGTAATTATGCTAAAAATGGTGCATAATTATTGACATCATTATTTTAATTAAAACACCAAGTAATTTATTTTGAACTTGTAAAACTTTTCATTTATCCTAAAGTATATATACACATTTCAACTAATGATCTAAACTCTTTTGTAATATCACCTTTAACATTAACGAGTATAATATCACTAATCGATAATACAAAGAGAGCTATTTTTTTATCAAATTCTTAATCATCTTAATTTGGACTTTAAAGACCTTCAGTATCTAATATAATAATGTAATCAAATAAATTATTAAAAAATGCTTTATTATGTATTTTTAATAATTATAAATAAATTCCTTTCGTACATCTACCAACACTTGTCCAAAAATGGCATCCAAATATTTTATTTAATATTGTTGATTTACCAGAACTTTATGGTCCTAATACACTTAATACTAAAATCCTTTCCTATCCTTAATCTTTAAAATTAGAAATAAGCTTTATTAAAAACTATTAGTCTATTCTTAATTGGTCTCCATCCAAAAATTCATATGGTTCTCCTTTAGAAATCATTTCTTTAATTATTTTTGCAGGATCAATGTCAATTTATGATTTAATACATTAATCTTTTTAAGATATGATTTCTCTCCAAAATAATTCAATCCCAATATTTCTCTTTGAGATTATTTTCGAATTCTATTTTAATTATAGAACTTTTTCATCTATTAATTTTTATATTTCATCTCTTTATTAAATTTATTTAATTGTGATTTCTTTATTTTTATCTTTTGATTTTAGCTCATCCCTTTCTTTTTTTAATTCTTAAATTTCTTCATTAAGTTTTTAATTTTAACCCTATAATTCATAAGTGTTTTTTTCATTAAATTTTCTAATTATATCCACAAAATGAAGATATAATATATAATAGTTAGGTTTTTTTAATAAACTACAAAATTTAGAGATTATTTTTGTTGGTTATTATGATTTCATTTATGATTATAAAACTTTTATGTTTTGATTAATTCGCTGTAATTTTTATTGCTTAGTTTGGTCATCCTTACTCTATTCAATTCGAATATACTCATCTTTTTCTTGTTTGATTTAATAATCAATGCTTCTTAATGGAAAAGCATTCTTATTGTAAAAACCTTATTCATGCTTCATTTATTTTTCTAATTCTTTTTCAATATCAGAAAATAATTTTTAGGATAATTTAATTTCATTAGTTTATTCCAAATTTTGACACTTCATTTAACAAATAAATTTAAAATATTGCTCTTAATTTACAGTATATACTTTACTATTTTGATTTATTATATCATACAAAAATTGAGATACTTATTCGATTTCATCATCTTCCATTTATTTATTTAAATCTTTGTCTGATAAATCAATTATTTTTTTATATTTGATATTTAAGGAATATAATAATTCCTTCTAATTTTCATTCAAGTCTTAAGATGATGAATTTCTAATTAAAAAGCAGACTACTTTTTCCTTAATTTAAAAAGATTGTAATTTTTATAAGTTTTAAATTGTCATTTCAATTTCTTTTTCAGTATCCAATTAAATAATCCACAATTTAAACATTGGTAAAATATCATCTAAAATAGTAAAAGGAATAAAATTATGGGCATCAGCTACAGACAGGTTTCTTGAACCTTAAAATTCAAAATCATACATAATATCAATTGTTTAATTATTTAATTAATTACTGTCCTATATTTCAAATTTATCTTATTAATAAAAGATTTTATTGATTAATTTTGTTTTACCAATTTTTTTTTGTTTTTCATTTAGACTTAAATTTATAATTGGAAAGTTTTCTTAGAAAACATAAAAGGTATTGATATTAAATGTTAATTTTTCTAATTCTCCAGTTTCTGCATTATAAGGAGTTCTATATAATAATGGAATTGGATATTATTTACTCATAAGTTTTAAAAGCATTACTTTTAATTCATCATTAGCATTATTATAGAATATTTAAAATATAGATTTTTAATTGAAATATCCATATTTTATTGAAAGTTCCTTATTATATTTTATTTGCTAATTAATAATTGATAAGAATGTCTTAGATGATTCTCCTCTTTTTATAATATTAAAAAAGAATGGTATTAATTTTTTAAAATTATTAGAATCCTTAACATCCTAAATCCATTCCTTTACTAAATTTTGTTGTTATTTTTTATCTAAAAGAGTCATAGAAATATTAAATTCTTCTAATTAAATATTCAGATTTCTTGGATAAATGTCACTTCTAAGTTTTTATTCAAATATTGTAGGTTCTAATTAATTATTGTTAAAATAATTTATTGATTCAAATGTATTTCTATACAGAACGGCATCTTACATATAAAAAATTTCAGCAGAATTTTATAATTATTAATTTTATTCTGTTTACCAATAATAAACTAAATTGAAAACATTTTTTATCTATTCTAGATTTAATTATATGTCCAAAAATAATTCAAGGAAATTATTAAAACAATAGATTTATGGAAATCTTAAGATATTTCTTATACTGTCCTTGAAATCTTGCTTTTCATTTACTGCCTTTAATTTGCTGAAAAGATAATGTAAGATACTTATAGTATTAATATAAATCTATTAAGAAACTTAATTTAATCTATTCTCTTATATTAATTGATATATTTAATTATTATTTAAATGAAAAAGTTGAGAGAATAATTTTGTTAATTAATTAAACTATTTTAATGCTTAATTTTATTAAAATAATCTTCTGATAATTTAAAGAACTTCAATATAATTTTGAGTTTCATTATTTAAGTATTTTTAAATTAAATTATTAGCAATTTGATCTTAATTAGGAACCAATTTTAATTAATCATCTGAAAATTGGGCTAGCAAATTAATTTACTATAGAAATGGCAAAGATTCAAATTCAGATACATTAATAATATCCTTCTTTTCATTTTCACTTCTGCCCTACTATAAGGCTGATTTAAGCAGTTAAAAATTAATACCCGATCTATCTAAATATACTATCACAATTTGAAGAATAATTTCTAGTTCTTCAGACAAATATTTTTATCTTTCTTAATTTATTTTTAAAATAATTTAATTTAAATTATTTTCCTATATCAGGGTTCTCAATAATTATGCTACTTCACGTTGTTTCTCATCACGTATATTAGTTAATATATTTAACAATTTTGCATTTTTCTGATTAAGTAAATTCAAATTTACAATATGCTATTTTTTATTAAGAGTATATAAGTTTTCTTCAAAAATCTTTTCTAATAAATCATAAAAAGAAAGTTGTTTCAATTTTTACAATTTCTCTTCTTTGGAAGATTGTTTTTCTTAATATTGTTCTAATTTAATCATTAATTCTCCATCAATTTACCTAGTTGAATCCCTTCTGAACTAAAGATATAGATTAAGTAATTAAAATTTTTCATCTTTATTATTTTTTGCCAACTTCTGATTGTAATATTAATCAAAATTAATTAAACAATAAAAGCACATCATATAGAAAATAATTTAAAGATCAAAATTTATTGGTAATAGTTTATCAATAAGATTCTCAATATCAGTAAAATGTAAAGTACTTGAATCATTTTTATTTAATAATTATTTTATTATTTGTTGTATTGAATGATATAATTTTGATGAATCTTACTACAATAATTTTAATATATCCAATTGTTTTTGTAATTAAGTTTAGTCTTAATTTTACTATTATAATTTTTAATAATGATATTCGAATTATATCCAACTATTACAAAGAATTTCTCCTAATATTTAAAATAATCCTATTTTTTCTTTTTCTTCTATTTATAATTCCTCAGGTATAAAAAAAAAAAAAATTAAATTTTTTAATGTTATAGAATTTAATTAAAAAGAAGGATTTCTACAATATATTATTAAATCTATTATTTTGAAGCCATAATGATTCAGCTTTACAAAAACAGAGTTTTATGAATTTAAAGAGATAGGAAATCTACAAATATTAAAAAATTCATCTTGTCTTAGATATTCTTTAAGTCCTTCCAAATTCTTAGTATATTTTACATAATACAATTTCTCATATTATTGACAAATCTTCTTATTTTACTCGGATTCATCCCCTGATTATAGCCTTCGATTCCTCAAATGCTAGACCCTTTCATCTAAATTTTGTTTCTATTAAATAAGATAATTATTGTTAGGTATCATTTAAATAAGCCACTTGATAGCTATCTACTTATCATTTTCTTTTTTCAATCCAACAAAAAAGCATTCTACTATATTTTGAAAAGCATTATCAGATGAAATGATTTGATTTAGTTTATCATTTACTATGCTTTACAACTCCAAAGTCTTTTAATATTTGGACAACGATTGTGTCATCAATTTTAAGAAATTTATTAATAGAAAAATATCCTTTCTCAAATTACATTATAAAGCAAAAAAAGATACAATTTGAATACCAAAAAAAAAAATATTCTAATTCTAAATAATCATTACTATTAAGATTTCTATTTATTACCTTAGAAATCAAGCGTATGTATTTATCATAAACCAAAATGAAAACCCTATCAATTTTAAATATACTAATTAATAATTTATTGATATATATATGTTCCACCCAAAAATTTTATTTAATTATAACAATATAAAAGTTTTCTATTAATTTAAATATTTTAATATTCTGATAAGGGTGGTATGATTATGAAGAAAACCTTGAATATTTTTTCAAAATGTTTACAATAGATTCTAAAATTGGAATAAGAATGGCATAATGCTAATGATTAAATACTTTTGTATTATTCTAATATCCATGAGCCTGTATTAAAATATGGCTCAATTTTAACTTTTATTCATATATCGTATTCTAATTTATGAGTTCAAATGAATCTAGAATTCTTCGTTTCATCATAGAACTTATTTTTCGTTAAAACATTGATTAATTTCCATGTTGAAAGGTTAATATGGAACTTTGAATGTCAATTTCAATCTCTTGCTATATTTAATTTTTTTAATTACCAAAATATTTATGTAAGAGTTTAATTTATAATTAGTTGTGATACTTCCATCTGATACAATAAAATTTTTCTTGTATAAGTGTTCTTCAAAATAAATTGATTATCATTTTTTTTCTATGAATTTTAAAAAATGGAAATAAAATAATAAAAAAATGATGATGATATTTCAGCAAATGGTAATTTAAATGCTTTTTCAATTCAGTCATAAACATAATCAACTTAAATTAATCTTAATTTTATTTTTAAGATGGTATTCTTCAAATATATGTTTATTTATAAATTAATAATATTTTCATCTTCATTTACTTTATATATTTTCAATATTTTAGCTTCAAATAAAAATGATGATATAACAACTGCTAAAATTGTTCATTTTTTCATAGATTTAGATCTATTTTATTACAATTAATTTAAAATAATTGCTATCAATAAATCAATGATAAGAAAATAGGATATAAAATTTCAGTGAATCTTTGATTAAATAGATCGTAAATAATTGATCGATCGGATTGAATTAAATTAAGATTTCTTTTATTTTTATAATATTAATTCTTAAATCAAAAAAAATTTCATCAAGTTGGCTAGTATTTATTCTAATTATCAAATATTATCAATTTCTAGAATAAGAATAATATAAGAGTTTAAATTTATTTCTATAAAGAAATTAAATAATAGAGAGGAGTTAAGAATTTGATTAAATTTGAAATTTTAAGAATATATTAATATTGATTATAGTCATAATAACTCAGGTTTTGGAGCAAATGATGCTTTACAACTACATGATTTTTCTGCATTTGGATTTTCTTAGACCTAAAAAATATTATATGACTAAAATACATAAAATGCAGCTCTGATCATTTTATCTTCATAATCAATAATACATCCGTTAACAAATTTAAGTGTAATTTCATCAACAACAAAAATTATTTCATTTTATATTTTGAGAACATAATCTTCTTCTAAAATTTAATCATCAAAATTAAATGAGTATTTAAATCCTGAACATCCTTCTATAAGATATATAATTTAATATTACATGCACCATCAACTCCTAATCTCAAGAATTTATTTGGAAATTTGGTTACTTGTTTTCTTTTAATTTCCTTCATTATTCATCTAATGTACCTGAATACAGAAGTCAGTAAGTTTAATTTAATCATTTATTGTATGATAACTGAATTGATTAAACTTTGTCAGAGTAGATAATAAAGTCTTAGAAATTCTTAACATGGCAAAAAATTGATATATTATAAAATTAATATTTTTAGAATTAAAGAAGAATTATAAATAAGTATATATTTCTCATTTAATTTCTACTATATAAAATGTATTGATACATAAATCTGATGGGAAATTAATATTAAAAGAAATTGAGCAATTAAAATTAATCGTACTTTTGTAAATTTACCTACATTTAAAAATTTAGGAATAATTTCATTGTTAGCTTTATGTAATTAAATGATGATGATCTACTAGAGTGTTAAGAANCTTAAATTAATCTTAATTTTATTTTTAAGATGGTATTCTTCAAATATATGTTTATTTATAAATTAATAATATTTTCATCTTCATTTACTTTATATATTTTCAATATTTTAGCTTCAAATAAAAATGATGATATAACAACTGCTAAAATTGTTCATTTTTTCATAGATTTAGATCTATTTTATTACAATTAATTTAAAATAATTGCTATCAATAAATCAATGATAAGAAAATAGGATATAAAATTTCAGTGAATCTTTGATTAAATAGATCGTAAATAATTGATCGATCGGATTGAATTAAATTAAGATTTCTTTTATTTTTATAATATTAATTCTTAAATCAAAAAAAATTTCATCAAGTTGGCTAGTATTTATTCTAATTATCAAATATTATCAATTTCTAGAATAAGAATAATATAAGAGTTTAAATTTATTTCTATAAAGAAATTAAATAATAGAGAGGAGTTAAGAATTTGATTAAATTTGAAATTTTAAGAATATATTAATATTGATTATAGTCATAATAACTCAGGTTTTGGAGCAAATGATGCTTTACAACTACATGATTTTTCTGCATTTGGATTTTCTTAGACCTAAAAAATATTATATGACTAAAATACATAAAATGCAGCTCTGATCATTTTATCTTCATAATCAATAATACATCCGTTAACAAATTTAAGTGTAATTTCATCAACAACAAAAATTATTTCATTTTATATTTTGAGAACATAATCTTCTTCTAAAATTTAATCATCAAAATTAAATGAGTATTTAAATCCTGAACATCCTTCTATAAGATATATAATTTAATATTACATGCACCATCAACTCCTAATCTCAAGAATTTATTTGGAAATTTGGTTACTTGTTTTCTTTTAATTTCCTTCATTATTCATCTAATGTACCTGAATACAGAAGTCAGTAAGTTTAATTTAATCATTTATTGTATGATAACTGAATTGATTAAACTTTGTCAGAGTAGATAATAAAGTCTTAGAAATTCTTAACATGGCAAAAAATTGATATATTATAAAATTAATATTTTTAGAATTAAAGAAGAATTATAAATAAGTATATATTTCTCATTTAATTTCTACTATATAAAATGTATTGATACATAAATCTGATGGGAAATTAATATTAAAAGAAATTGAGCAATTAAAATTAATCGTACTTTTGTAAATTTACCTACATTTAAAAATTTAGGAATAATTTCATTGTTAGCTTTATGTAATTAAATGATGATGATCTACTAGAGTGTTAAGAAGATAAAATTTTGGAAGGATTGGTATTTGAATAAATTTGGTTCCAGGAATTAATTAAGGAGCACTGAAAATTATTTTGTTTATATTAATTATAATTATCATTGATTATTTATAGTTTAAAATGAAAGTGGGAATTATTGGAGGAATTAGTTCATATTTGAGTTATTTAGTTTGGAATAACTATAATAGCAACCAAATTGAGTTGTATTCATTGAATACCGAATTGTAGAATGAAATCATCTAAAATTGTCCATCTCTTACATCTTATAGACCTCCTGCATTCTACTGTGGATTTTTGCACACTTTAATTCCCACAATCTCAAAACCTAAAGAGAAACACATATCCTTTTTTGAGAAGATTGGAGACACAGGTATATCAGTAGATTTTGTCGATAAGGGACAATCAATTAATTCTGATCAACCATTATTATTAATAATACCAGGATTGACTGGAAAAGTGTAAAATGGGTAAAAATATTTTTTAATCAGCTAGATATGTGAATAGTCTTATAACATAAGCTCATCAATATGGTTTTAATAATATTTGCATATACACTTATAGGATGCTATCTAAGGAAGCTAATTTCCTATTTGTTCCTCCTTTTTAAGATTATGGAATTGATTTTTAAGGGGCAGACAAAGAATATTTTAGACATGATGTTGTTGCAGGGCAAACTACTAGAGTAGATTTAGCAGCTGATTTGCATTACACCTTAAAATATTTAAAAGATAAATACAAATTTAAATAGATATTAGCTATTGGTTGTTCTTATGGTGGAGTTTAATTGGGCAATTACTTAGGAAGATTTTAAGATGATTCATTAATAGATGCAGGAGTAACTGTGTGTTCACCACATAATATCACTGATTGTGAGAAAAATATTTCTACTATTATGGATCTTACAATGACATATATTTTAAGAAGAGGATTAAAGATAAATAAACATTTATTTTATGATCCAAACAATTATCCTAAACAATGGAAACCTTAAATATCTAAAGCAATGAATTCTTTATTTGTTCATCAATTCGATAGATATTATACATCTCAGGTCTATGGTTATAAATCTGAAGTTGAATATTATAAGCATTTCTCTTCATGTGATCGATTTCCCTAAATCAAAATTCCAATGTTATGTATTGCAGCTAAAGATGATTATGCTGTTAATATTAAAGCTTTATCTTTAGATAAATTGATTTCGAATAAATAAACAATTGTTTGTTTAGCCAAAAGTGGAGGACATATAGGATTTTTAGAAGGATTGAATGCAGATAGCACATGGTTTCCAAAACCAGCTTTGGAATTCTTACAATATTTTTCAAAGGAATAAGAAATAGAATATAAAGCTTAATGATGTATTATATATATTCAAATTATTCAAAAGTCTTCAGTTATTTCATCCACTTCTTTAATTCCCAAATCTCCAAAGAATTAAGTAAGGACAGAACTCCTTTTTGGAATTCCCAAACTATCTAATTGATTAATAACTTTAGTTTAATCTTCAGAAGTGAGATTGATACTAGATTCAATTTGAGATCCTAATTATTGAAATAATTTCTAGTTATTTTATTGAATATTAGATTCCTATTATTATTGCTCTTTCAATTCTTAACTTTATTATATAGCAAAATCACCGAATGGATCTGAAGAACCTTTGATATCACATATTTTCCCTAATAATATAATAAATTTTTAATACTTAATGCATCAGATTAGGCTTAATAAGATATCTCTTGTCTACTTCCAAATCTACTCATTAAAACATTGCTACTTCCTATAGAATTCATTAATTAAATTGGTCCTCTCTTTTCATTTTATTTCTATACAATATGAATATTTCCAAAGTTCTTTGTCAAGTCTTCTACATCTACTCTATCTTAGTTTTTTTCTCCTTGCAACTTTTATATCATGTTTCCCAAATTATGATATCCAAAATAATTGTTGTTGATGGCCAAACTAGTTTGCAATTATTTCATATGTTTATTGCTATTATGAATAAGATTCTCCAAATTCGTACTAATAATTAAAGGAGTGCTTTCTCTTTATTATTATTCAAAAAAGGAATTTCTTAATGCATCATCTATGGAAATTCTTTTCTAACTATCATATTCCAACATTCCTATAATTAAATTCTATAAAGGAATTTCTAGTTCTTTCAATTATTCTTTAAACTTCCATTTATCTGGACATCTCAACAACTCAACAAAATCTTGATATTCATCAGAATGCAATGGAAGTTTTTAGAATAAACATTAATATGTTATTACTCCTATTGCCCATATATCAACTTCTTTGGAATAACACGATTTATGATATATTTCAGGTGCACAATAAAATACATTTCCTGTTTTTGTCAACATTTCAATCTCTTAACCTTTTGATTAAAATCTTCTTGATACTCCAAAATCTACTACCTTTACTTTTACTTCTGATGTATCCATATTATCACTCAAATCTACTAGAACATTATCAGGTTTTAAATCTCTATGGCATATACCTTTTTGATGAGCATGTTGAATTGCTAAAAGTAATTATTTAATCACAATTCTAAGTTCAATTACATTCAATTTTCTCTTCTTTATAATTGATTCCAATGAATCAAATGCACAATATTCCATTATTAAATATGAAGTTTCCATCTTTTCATTTATAAATAATTCAATATCCTATGCAATATTTGGATGTCTTAAACATCTAGTGTTATTAAAAGTTCTCTTAACGTTGTTTTATATTTCTTAATCTCCAGATCTCACTATTTTCACCGCGAAAATCTCATCTGTATCTTTCTTTCTTGCTACTTTCACTACAGCATGGGCACCCTAACCTAATACGAATTTTTATAAGTTTATACCCAAAGTTTATAATGCTTCATATCTATCCTCAAATTTTAGTGCATCATCGAATTGATTAAGAGTAATAATCTCTGGTTTTATTTCATCTTCACTGAATGATATCTAAAATTTAAGACGATGACCTCCATTCATTTTATATATAATATTAAATACATGCGTTTATTTCATAACTATATCAAATCAGATATTAAATATCTTAATCAATTTCTCACATCCTTATATAAATTACTGAAATATCCTTCCTCCTAGAATTTTTTACTGTATTTTACTGACAATCCCTTTAAAAAATTAAAACTTATCTAAAACAATTCTAATTCCAAATTTTAATCTCTTCCCTTATTTGATTCTTCATAAAAATTCAAAAACTATGATATTTAGGTTTTTGTTCAAAATTATCACTTAATATTACCAATTTAACTTATTTTCTGAGAATTTTGAATTATGTTTACGACTAATTTTTCTTAAATGCTGCTGAGCTTATCTCAATCTATTTTTAGGCAATTCTACAAAAGGTAAATTTAATCATTATTTAATGAAAAAAGCAATTCTGCTTGAATTTTTTCTCAACTCTTGATCGGAACCTACAATAATCTAGATTGCAATTTGGATTTAAAATGTAAAGATTTTGTATATTTAAATATTCAATGAGCATTTTATCATTTCTGAAATTTTATGGTATCAATTTTACAAATAAGATAAATTTTACAATCAACAATTTTTAATTCTAATCTTCTACTAAATTTTTCATTGCAAAAGTCGCTTCTTGCATCTTATATTAGTAATTTTCTGCATCTAATCTCCTACCAACTGTTTGGTTTATGTTTAAATTTATCTTCATCTATAACTCTTCATTTTTAAATTATTTTTATTTTTGAACAATAATCATTTATGTATTGAAGTAATTACCTTTTTAGGTAGTTTATCCAAAATGATGTTGGAATTTATCACTCATATTAATATTTTTAATAAAATCTTACTTTTTAATCTGCAACTTAATATCTGACTAATTATTATCGTTATCAATTAAGGTTCAAGATTGAGCTTCTGATCTATTTGCACTGATCATTTAAATATTGAGTTTCTAAGAGCAGCACTTTTTTCCCCACTAGATCGCTTGTACAATTAATTAGATCAGCTTATTAAATGAAAAACTATCTAAAAATTATTTGCTTTCACATATAATTCAAATTTTTGAATATGATTTTTAGATTTATATTTTTTCCTTTTCTTCCCCTGGTTATCATTAATTAAACATGGAAGCTTATAAAAGTAAAATTCTATTATCTATATCAATTAATAACTTTTCTTAATAAAGGGACTGGAAAAAGAAGATTCTAATTGAATTTCAGTATAATTATAGATCAATTACCAGTATTAAGCCAATATTTAATATATAGATAGAATAGTAAGGTTAATTAACCTAGTTATTTCTTTTGATAATAACTCGATTCTTCTTTTAATTTTCTTTAGTAACTATTTCCTACAATTAGAAATTTCTGAATTCCTATTACCTCATTATATTTAATTATTATTCAGATATAACTATTTAAAATCTACTAGCAAAACTTCTGTTTTTAGAAATGTCTATCATTAACGAATCTATTGATCTACAATGACTCCGATTTCAATTATTGGACTTGTTCATAATTTTAAAATCTTTAATTTAATTGTTAAACAAATTCTCACAACTTTATCAATTATTGTTTATGAAATCAAAAAAAATTTCACCATAATAGATTTATTAATGACTTTATAATTTTTTTTATTTTATTAGATGGCAACAGTTAATTCAATCCGTCACCTCATTTATCTATAATTTCTAATTTTTCTATTTTATAATTAATAGCATCCGCAATATGCTCCAATATATCTACTAAGACTTCCACTTTTATTTTAATATCAAAATATAATAAAAATAATTAATTCACTATTAGATATTCAGAATTTTCTTAATATTACTCTATAATTATTATTAATTGCTCTAAACTTTTTTTTCCATCTCAATGGTTATTTTGTGTTCCTTAAATGATCACTTAGTTTCTCAAATCATTAAATGTATACTTATTGAGTTATTTAAATATATTTTTAATTTATTCACGAAAATTAATTTATTATTATTAAGGAAGTGTAATGATTGTTATTTTATAAAGGTTAAAACTAGTATTCTAATTCATAATACCACATTTTTTAGCTAAACAATTTTTAGATATTTCAGTGTATTCTAATTGTTTCTCAGATTCGTCGAGTTAATCTTAAATCTAATTGATAGTTGACTTCGATTGAATAAAAGCTTAATTTACATTTTCATTAAAATATATTTTGATATTCAATTTATAGAAAAATAGTATCAATTTAAGCTTTTATTTTAAGGATAATGTAGTTACTCAAGTTTATTATTTGTTATTATTAGTTTGAGTAGTTGATTATTGTTATTGTTCTCAATTTGTTTTTAGATATGATAACTTAAGATGAGATCATTAGATTTTGTATTTTGAAAAATTATTACCTATTTATCAAGATTAAACATATACTTTCTAATAGCCTAATAAATAGTTATTTTATAGTCTCAATAAATTGGCATTTTTTTTTAATATGTAACATGAATTGTTATTGTTTAAATGGAGAACATTAATATTTTTTACATTAATCATATTTTTCTGAAATTTCCAAATATTTCTATTTGATATATATCACGATAAAAATTTTGTTCATTTATCAACATTAGAATGAAATTCCATACATTGTAAAGCAAAAAATTATTCTTTATTTAAAATGTTTTAATAGAATTACAAAATTAATGAATCTACTCTNCTACAATGACTCCGATTTCAATTATTGGACTTGTTCATAATTTTAAAATCTTTAATTTAATTGTTAAACAAATTCTCACAACTTTATCAATTATTGTTTATGAAATCAAAAAAAATTTCACCATAATAGATTTATTAATGACTTTATAATTTTTTTTATTTTATTAGATGGCAACAGTTAATTCAATCCGTCACCTCATTTATCTATAATTTCTAATTTTTCTATTTTATAATTAATAGCATCCGCAATATGCTCCAATATATCTACTAAGACTTCCACTTTTATTTTAATATCAAAATATAATAAAAATAATTAATTCACTATTAGATATTCAGAATTTTCTTAATATTACTCTATAATTATTATTAATTGCTCTAAACTTTTTTTTCCATCTCAATGGTTATTTTGTGTTCCTTAAATGATCACTTAGTTTCTCAAATCATTAAATGTATACTTATTGAGTTATTTAAATATATTTTTAATTTATTCACGAAAATTAATTTATTATTATTAAGGAAGTGTAATGATTGTTATTTTATAAAGGTTAAAACTAGTATTCTAATTCATAATACCACATTTTTTAGCTAAACAATTTTTAGATATTTCAGTGTATTCTAATTGTTTCTCAGATTCGTCGAGTTAATCTTAAATCTAATTGATAGTTGACTTCGATTGAATAAAAGCTTAATTTACATTTTCATTAAAATATATTTTGATATTCAATTTATAGAAAAATAGTATCAATTTAAGCTTTTATTTTAAGGATAATGTAGTTACTCAAGTTTATTATTTGTTATTATTAGTTTGAGTAGTTGATTATTGTTATTGTTCTCAATTTGTTTTTAGATATGATAACTTAAGATGAGATCATTAGATTTTGTATTTTGAAAAATTATTACCTATTTATCAAGATTAAACATATACTTTCTAATAGCCTAATAAATAGTTATTTTATAGTCTCAATAAATTGGCATTTTTTTTTAATATGTAACATGAATTGTTATTGTTTAAATGGAGAACATTAATATTTTTTACATTAATCATATTTTTCTGAAATTTCCAAATATTTCTATTTGATATATATCACGATAAAAATTTTGTTCATTTATCAACATTAGAATGAAATTCCATACATTGTAAAGCAAAAAATTATTCTTTATTTAAAATGTTTTAATAGAATTACAAAATTAATGAATCTACTCTAATAATTAATATCCTATTGTTACCAGTTTGATAATTTTTATTTAAATACATATAGAATCAATAACTCAAAATTTCATATTTTAGTATGCTTTATTAAATATGTTATAATATCTTTCAACATATATCACAATCACTTGAGATTTATGAAATAAATATATTCCTATAAACCAATATATATAAAAGGGTAGTTTTGTATAACTATTTTAAATTCTAAAACCTAAATATTTGCTAGTTAAATAATTTATAATAATTTTTGTAGAATTAATTTTATTAAATTTATATAACATTTGAGCTACTTAGAACCATATAATTATTGAATCTTAATTAATTTTACAACCATTATTTTTTTTAACATATAAATACCTTCTTATATATTTCCATTTTTTTAAATTTTCTAAGTTAGATTTAGATAATTCCTCTCTTTATTTAAATATAAATTTATACAAATTTTACTTAATCTATCTACTTTTTGATTTAATTTTTATGATCTACTTTAACTATTAATAATCCTCATTATGTTTCGTTAATAATCTAATTAATTTTAAAATGTGAGAACAATACATTTTAAAGCTCTTGGAAAAACTAGAAAAATCAAATCAAGAACTTATATTTAATTAGACTTCAGACATCGATACGATTTGACTTTTCACTTTTCAATTAAACTAATGAGAGATTTTCAAGCAGATTTTTAAATAACACTCTATACAAACAAATAATGAATTAAAACATGTTGTTTTAAAACAGTAATAACATTTCACTAAATAAGGATTATTAATTTCTATAAAACATTCAAACACATTCTTCATAATTAATTAAAAAGGTGTAATAATTATAAATATAATTAATTCTTTGTTTTATTAGAAATAATTTTGGAAATAATTTCATTTTTATAACAATTAATCAGCAGTTTTTCACTTATTTGACTAATTTATTTACTTCTTCAATCCAAACTTAAGCAATCTATTAAGGTTACATTGATGGCTATAATTTTGCAAAACCACAGTTTGATTTAAAAAAATCAACAACCTTAAACTTGAAATCGAACCTTTTATTTTCTTTTCAAAAGCTTTAACAAAATCTACCAATATTTATATTTCTGCATCTGATTTTTATATCGGTACACATAATGGCAAATCAAAAATATGAAAATCTTGAGTTTAGAATGCATCTCTTTTATCTTCTTTTATTTAATCTAGTAAATTTTATTAAACTTATCCTTAAAGACAACTTAAGACTATTTTATATAATAACTCTGGAGCTTCATCTGGGTTTTTCAGCTAAACAAAATATTCTTATGCTTTTAGAGCATAGGTAACAAAATCATGTAAATTTTTAGTGTTGGCATCCACCTTTTAGATGAGATTTCTTATTAGTAAATTTAATTTAAATTTCCGATTTAATATTAGTTATTTTGTCTTTAACATATTTTTCTATACATGCACATTGATTTCTGATATATGAAATAATTTAATCATCTGTAACAGTATTATTTGATCTTTCTAGAATTTCTTTGTCAAATTTTTTCATTAAATTAAAGCTTGATACTTTACTATAATTCATTATCATTTAAGTGGCTTCTTCACAATAATTCTTATAAAATCTTTATGTTGCTTAATTGATGATATCTTATGCTTAAGTTTATACCCTCTAATTTTACTTTATTCTTTCTTATTTTATTAAATATCAGCCTTAAATTTAATATATTATTCGTCAGTTTAATCTTTCAACTCTTTCTTATTGCTTTCAGTTGATTGATATTATCCAAAACATAATATTCTCCAAATAGTAAAAATGGCATAATAAAATAAGCATCTCTCACCTAAATCAGTTAAAATAACACCAAAATCAGAAAATTGCATATTAAATTCCTTTATTTTCACTCAATTTTTTACATGATTCTTTTTATTAAACTAAAACTATATTAATTAACTTTGATATTCTCGTTTTCTTGAACGATAGCATTTTTATTTATATCAATAATTTCATCTAGTATCATTTAATGAATCTCACCATACATTTTATTCCAGCCATCATTATGATTATCATTCATAAGTTATTAAACAACTTTTACAACATAATTCTTAAACTAATTATATTGATGATAGTTTTCCTTTTGATTCTAGATAAAATTAAAAATCTCTAGAGTAAAATTTTATCTATGACAACTAATCTCTTTTTATTAGTCTAAATTACCTATATTATTATGATTTTATATTTATGTATTACTTTTTTATGTAATTGTACTGTCATATGATAATTTCAAAAGGTCAAGATTTGAAGATTGAACATTTCCATCAACAACTATTGTTTGTTACATCACTACAAGAAAATTCTCACCTTAATCAAAGGGTTTAATTAGATTCTCTAAATTTTCTTATAATGAAATTATTTATTCTTTTTTTTATAAAATTTTCACAAAACATTTACAATATTTTATTATAAAAGCAATCGACAGCTAATACTATTCGTCATTGTAATATTTTCTTTAATTAGGTTTAAAGCATGAAATAAGTAATTATGGTAGATTTTACTTTATATTCCAAAATGAACGCAAATAACTAAAAACTTCATCAGATTAGTTCTCATCAATTTCATAACCAAAAATAGTAAATTAAAACAAAAAGTCTTGAACTGCATAAATATCATATTTCTATTTCTCTTTAAAATAATTTTGAATATCAGAACTCAAATCAGTTCGAATATATTCATCACAAACATTCTTTGATATCCATTTTTGTTCAATTTTGTAAGAGTAAAATTTTGATATTTTCAAAATATAATTATCTGAAATTTTTTAAAACCTTTTAGTGATACTTTAACAAAAATTTTCATAATATTAGTAATTTTTATTCGATTTTTCGACAACCATAAATTGTTATGTCTGTAATTCTGGACTAAATATTTTGAGTGAAGTTAAAAAGTCACCTTTTTCTGGGGCTTTTTTAATTAGCTTTTAATGATACTCTTATTTATAAAAAGGTTCATTATTTGTTTTCAATATATACTTTGAAAACTCTTATTAAATAACTTAAAGTAACTTATCGCAAAACACTTTAAACATATCTTCTTATTATTAAGTATGTTGATTTGTTATTTATCCCCAAATTTTATTAAATTTCATTTTAATCTTATTTTAATTCTTCCTCCTTTTTTAGTAACCCTTAGATAAATAAATCAATCTAAATAAATCCCTTCTTCTTTTATAAATTTGTTTCTTAAGTTTTAATTTCAGAATATTTTGCTAAATTAAATGCTGATATTTCACTATTTATTCTATCTTTAACCATATTCACATATTTCGTAAAGACTTTTTTAGAAATTTTTTTTTCATTTTTGATGGTTGTTAATTTTTCAATGAATTCTTTCCTGATTTAATCGAATTGCCCTTTCATATTATTGATTTGTTATTTCTCTATTTCAGTCAATGCTTCAAGAGATAATTTTCAATTTTTTATTAAATACTCTCTTGAATATTTTAGATGAAATCATTTTATTTAGGAAACACTTAATTATTCATGATTTCATTAAATTATTACCTCATAAATTGATTTTATTAATGTTATATTAATTCAGAAAATTCAAGTAAATCAGGTAGGCTTTCTGTACTCCTCCAAGTTGTTTGAATCTTCTCTATAAACTATTTTAAATTCTCCATCTATTTATTTCCTTACTAATCTGTTTCACTTCCAAATTTATCAACATATGCTTGAATTACTCTAATACCATATTCATATGCTTCTTCAGAAAATGTTCCATTTATAATTAACTGGCGCCAATCTGCATAAATCCCGTCGCTTTCATTTTTTCTCCATAATTTTTCTGTAGATGCAAATCCTAAAATTTTGATATTAGCTTAAGTAATTCCAAGAATTTCTGTATAATCTATAACCTCATCTTCCTCTTTTTGATTACTGAATTCTGTACTTAAACTTGTTGCAATAGATTGTAATTATGCTAAAAATGGTGCATAATTATTGACATCATTATTTTAATTAAAACACCAAGTAATTTATTTTGAACTTGTAAAACTTTTCATTTATCCTAAAGTAAATATACACATTTTAACTAATGATTTGAACTCTTTTGTGATATCACCTTTAACATTGACGAGTATAATATCGCTAATAGATAATACAAATAGAGCTATTTTTTATCAAATTCTTAATCATCTTAATTTGGACTTTAAAGACCTTCAATATCTAAAATAATAATGTAATCAAATAAATTATTAAAAAATGCTTTATTATGTATTTTTAATAATTATAAATAGATTCCTTTTGTACATCTACCAACACTTGTCCAAAAATGGCATCCAAATATTTTATTTAATATTATTGATTTACCAGAACTTTATGGTCCTAATACACTTAATACTAAAATCCTTTCCTATCCTTAATCTTTAAAATTAGAAATAAGCTTTATTAAAAACTATTAGTCTATTCTTAATTGGTCTCCATCCAAAAATTCATATGGTTCTCCTTTAGAAATCATTTCTTTAATTATTTTTGCAGGATCAATGTCAATTTATGATTTAATACATTAATCTTTTTAAGATATGATTTCTCTCCAAAATAATTCAATCCCAATATTTCTCTTTGAGATTATTTTCGAATTCTATTTTAATTATAGAACTTTTTCATCTATTAATTTTTATATTTCATCTCTTTATTAAATTTATTTAATTGTGATTTCTTTATCTTTAGGTTTAAGTGCTTCTCTTCCTTTTTTTAATTTCTAGATTTCTTCATTTAGTTTTTAATTTTAATCCACAAAATGAAGATATAATATATAATAGTTTGATGTTTAAAATAATCTACAAAATGTTGAGATTATTTTAGTTGGTTATGATTTTATTTAAGCTTGCAGATTTTTTATTTTTAATTAATTTGGTGTAACTTTTCATGTATTTCTGGGTCATCTTTACTCTATTAAATTCTAATGTAAACATCTTTTTCTTATTTTATTTACCAATCAATACTTCTTAATGGAAATGCATTCTAATTGTAGAAGCCTTATTCATGCTTCATTTAAATATCTAATTCTTTTTCAATGTCTTAAAATCATTATTAAGCTAGTTTCATTTCCATAGTTTATTCCAAATTTTGACATTTCATTTAACATATAAGATTAAAGTATTGCTCTTAATTTACAGTATATACTTTTCTATTTTGATTTATTATATCATACAAAAATTTAGATACTTATTCAATTTCATCGTCTTTCATTTATTTATTTAAATCTTTGTCTGATAAATCAATTATTTATTTATATTTGATATTTTAGGAATACAATAATTCCTTCTAATTTTCATCCAAGTCTTAAGATGATGAATTTCTAATTAAAAAACAAACCATTTTTTCTTAAATTAAAAATGATTTTAATTTTTATAATTTTTATATCGAAGTTTCAATTTCTTTTTCAGAATACAATTAAATGATCCACAATTTAAACATTGGTAAAATATCATCTAAAATATCAAAAGGTATAAAATTATGAGCGTCGGCTACTGACAGATTTCTTGACCCACTAAATTCAAAGTCATACATAATATAATTGTTTAATTATTTAATTAATTGCTGTCAGAGATTTCAAATTTGTCTTATTAATAAAAAATTTTATTGATTAATTCTGTTTTTCCAATTCTTTTTTATTTTTCATCTAAACTTAGACTTATAATTGGAAAGTTTTCTTAGAAAACATAAAAAGTATTAATATTAAATGTTAATTTCTCTAATTCGCCAGTTTCAGCATTATAAGGAGTTCTATATCATAATGGAATTGGATATTATTTACTCATAAGTTTTAAAAGCATTACTTTTAATTCATCATTAGCATTATTATAGAATATTTAAAATATAGATTTTTAATTGAAATATCCATATTTTATTGAAAGTTCTTTATTTTATTTTATTTGTTAATTAATAATTTACAAAAATATTTTTGATGATTCTCCCCTTTTATAATATTAAAAAAAAAAGGTATTAATTCTTTAAAATTCTAAGAATCCTTTACTTCTTTAATCCATTTCTTAACTAATTCTTGTTATTTTTCTTTATCTAAAAGAGTCAAAGAAATAGTAAATTCTTCTAAAGAAATATTTAAACATCTTGGATATATGTCGCTTTTAATATATAATTCTAATTGTTCTGGGTTTAATTATTAATTTTCAAAATAATTGATTTTTTAGAATATATTTTTGTATAAATTAGCATCCTATCTGTAAAATTATTCTGCATTTGCTTTTAGTGTTTATTATTATTTGAATTACCAAAAATAAATCAATTAATAGATATTCTATAATTATTCTATAATTATTCTATAATTATTCTATATTAACTTTTTCTTTTTATAAGTCAAAAAAGAAATTTAAATTATAAATTTTATGATTTTTGAATACTTTTTCTAGATTATGCTTAAAATGTAATTATTCATTATAGGTGTTTGCATAAAAATATATCATTGCTTTCATAATATAATAATAAAATTTATAATGTGTCAATACAATAAGCCTAATATATTGACTCAATATTAATTTAATTATTATTTTATGAAAGCAACATAATATTTTTATGCAAACATTTAAATTAGTTAACGACTTAAAATAATGTTTCTATTGTATTCATATAATCACATTAAGAGATTTAATTTTATTTATTGACACTAATTAATCGATGAATTTGTTCGTCCTATAAAAAGGTAAAAATTTTAGAAAAAAATTGAGTTAAATAATTCTACTATTGAATTGCTTAATTATTATTGAAAAGTTTTCTCAAAAAATGGAGGAGTTTTGATGAGGAGCCTTCTGATTTATAAAAGAAATATTGTTTAATCAAAGAATTACAAATGATATATTGAATTTAATTTTATTTGACTAATTCCCAATAATCATCTTGAAATTCATTTAATAGTTAAATTTAGTCATTTAATTCCATAGTATCATTGTATTTTGATATTTTTAAAAGATTTTCCATCTAAGCCTTAGTTTTACCCTATTTTAAAGCTTATCTAAGAATTAAAAATTATGTAAATTCTTGATTTTGAATTTCAACTACGATTCTGAAAATAATTTCTAGTTCTTAACTTGGGTAAATTGCACTTTATTTTTTCAATTCCAATACATCATCAATCAAATTTTGAGTCTTTATTAGGTTTTTCAAAAAAGCAGCTANATTCTCCCCTTTTATAATATTAAAAAAAAAAGGTATTAATTCTTTAAAATTCTAAGAATCCTTTACTTCTTTAATCCATTTCTTAACTAATTCTTGTTATTTTTCTTTATCTAAAAGAGTCAAAGAAATAGTAAATTCTTCTAAAGAAATATTTAAACATCTTGGATATATGTCGCTTTTAATATATAATTCTAATTGTTCTGGGTTTAATTATTAATTTTCAAAATAATTGATTTTTTAGAATATATTTTTGTATAAATTAGCATCCTATCTGTAAAATTATTCTGCATTTGCTTTTAGTGTTTATTATTATTTGAATTACCAAAAATAAATCAATTAATAGATATTCTATAATTATTCTATAATTATTCTATAATTATTCTATATTAACTTTTTCTTTTTATAAGTCAAAAAAGAAATTTAAATTATAAATTTTATGATTTTTGAATACTTTTTCTAGATTATGCTTAAAATGTAATTATTCATTATAGGTGTTTGCATAAAAATATATCATTGCTTTCATAATATAATAATAAAATTTATAATGTGTCAATACAATAAGCCTAATATATTGACTCAATATTAATTTAATTATTATTTTATGAAAGCAACATAATATTTTTATGCAAACATTTAAATTAGTTAACGACTTAAAATAATGTTTCTATTGTATTCATATAATCACATTAAGAGATTTAATTTTATTTATTGACACTAATTAATCGATGAATTTGTTCGTCCTATAAAAAGGTAAAAATTTTAGAAAAAAATTGAGTTAAATAATTCTACTATTGAATTGCTTAATTATTATTGAAAAGTTTTCTCAAAAAATGGAGGAGTTTTGATGAGGAGCCTTCTGATTTATAAAAGAAATATTGTTTAATCAAAGAATTACAAATGATATATTGAATTTAATTTTATTTGACTAATTCCCAATAATCATCTTGAAATTCATTTAATAGTTAAATTTAGTCATTTAATTCCATAGTATCATTGTATTTTGATATTTTTAAAAGATTTTCCATCTAAGCCTTAGTTTTACCCTATTTTAAAGCTTATCTAAGAATTAAAAATTATGTAAATTCTTGATTTTGAATTTCAACTACGATTCTGAAAATAATTTCTAGTTCTTAACTTGGGTAAATTGCACTTTATTTTTTCAATTCCAATACATCATCAATCAAATTTTGAGTCTTTATTAGGTTTTTCAAAAAAGCAGCTATAATGTATAAATATAATAATATTATTAATTCATTTAAATTATATATATATTTTTTAATTATGAAATACATTTATTTCTTAATTAAAATTAATGAAAATTTATACATATTATAACAAACAAAACTCAAGGTTTTGTGAATAAATATAATCATTTTTTCTTTTAAAATCTAAGAAAAATAGGTTTGTTATTAAAAAAAATATTTTTATACATTCTTCATTATATTATATTTATTTTTTTTTTATTTTTTTTATTTTTTGTTAAACTCATTTTTAATTTATCTCCTTTTAACATTTTGAGGACTTCATAGATCAAAATTGATTCGGTTAGAAGAGGTGATTCTATATGTTGCAAAGAGTTTCTCAAATAATCCAAAAGGCAAGAAAATACCTTCGAAAAACAAAGATTTTAGCCGTCCCATAATATGCTTTTATTAAATGAATAATTCTATCTATCAAAAAAACTGACTCCTTTTCAATATTGAAGGATTATTCTAACTAATACAAATAACTATAGCACTAAATGCTTAAATCGTCAATAGAACTTCCAATTTTTTACTTTTATATGCTTTTGAAATTAAGAAAAATAATCTTGATTTGCATCAATATTAAAGTAATCCTCACTAATTAATGTTGTAATTTAATGATTAAATTTTTTTCGTTTTTTTCATTATTTATCTATATACTAAGATTTTGTGAAAAATAAAGAAAAAATTATTATCATTTATTTATTTCTCAAATTTTCATTAGTCATAATAGTATTTTGGAATATTAAAGTCAAGTCTTGTGTTTGATAATTTTGTTCGTTTTGATAAAGCTTTAGAAATATTGGAAAATATCAGCAGGTGCATAGTTATATTTAATAGAATCTATTGAACTTCATTAGTACATATTGCTTAAATTTTTAAGTATAGAATCGAATCCATTCCCTTAAAACCTTTATTACTGTTATTAGAAATTAGATTTAACATTATTTACTTATAAGGTGATCTTTAGAGGAAATCTTTGTCTTTTGTTAAGTAAACACTCTGTTTTTTATATTATTAATGAATTTTTTCTGGTTATTTGCAGTTATACTCATGTATATCATTTTGATGTTTATAAAGTAATGACTGATGAAGTATGCCAAACTTATTTAGTTGTATCTAGGTTTACATTAGTTGAATAAATGATACCTGGTATCGTTCTGGAAATTGTTCTTCTTTGTTAAAAGCCATTCAATTGAGAGTACCAGCTAGTATTTTAAGATTTTTATAGGATTCTTCTGAATTTGATACCTAGGTTAAATTCAGTCTATTAAAAATATTTATAAAAAATTTTAAGAAATTCTTCCATTCTATTCATTTTGTCTCTAAATCTATAAATAACTATATTTATTAAAAATACATTACCTTTTAAATATAATTATGTATAAAAATCTCATAACATTTTTATTAGTTTATAAATTCATCATGAATTAAAAAATTATTTATAAATTAATAAGGAATTGTTTGATAATATAAAAATCATTCAAATTCCATATCATCATTTGAACTGAGTTCACTATCTGAGTTTTCTTAATATACAATTTAATATGGGTTTTAGACTCCTAGGTGAACTCTTCTGATGTAACAATAGAATCTGTTTTTTACCATATTTTCCTAATAGGTTTAAGTATAATATATATACAGGTCTGCCCTTAAGATGAGATGAAATAAGACTCCATTTACCTCCATAATCCTAATACAATCTGATAATGGTGGCATCTTCAGCTTCAGTCCATGGACCTGTATTAATATCAGGATCAATTTTATTAATATATCGTTCTCTTATCTATTTACTCAAAATACCCGGAAAGTCTAGAGCACTATAGTTGAATTAATTTTTACGTAAAGCAATTAACTTCCAATTCTTGCCATGTTGTTAGACTAATTGAAGAATCTTCTCATCTTCACCTTAGGTCCATTGCTTTCTTTTAATCTAGTTAAAAATTATTAAACTTTATTACTATTTTAACTGGTTGTAATCTCCTCCATCTTTAACAACATTATGAAACATTTCTTCCTGGCATATGTTTAGCAATTTCATTCCACTTTCCATTATGTTTTTCATACTAGATACGTAATTAAGCATCTTCATTGGCATCCCACAACTTCAGTATTCTTTTCTATATAATATTATAAGATTAATGATACTTTTTTTGTGTTAGTTTATTCCTTTTTCATATTACTATCATTTTCCTCTTACATAGGTTGATTGCTAATGACTTCATCTTAAAGTATAAAACCAGATGGTAATTGAGTAGAAGGTGGATCACTTGAAGATTGAAAACTTATATTTAATAAATAAAACCATACTCCATCTATTCCATGTAGTAATCATTATCTAATTGTAAGTATTAATCCGTTTCTATAATGGAGTTCTATTAAACTTAGTCTGTCATTGTTTCTTAAATCACAGGTTGGATGGACAAAGTTTATGCTGGTTTTTGTATTGGTCTATTTGCTTTATCTGGCTTTTCCCTATTGGAGAAGCAGCAGATTGATTAAAAAAAATTGAACATGATAATTAAAATAATTTTCAAATCTCAGCAAATATTATGTTAAATGTTCTTTTATTCTAATTCGGACACATTCCATCAACTTATTCCATCAGACTAGGGATATTATATTGAAGAACACTTTTTGAAATTTGTTCTTGCTATTTATATTTAATTTTATAAAACCTTGTATATATAAAAGGGGTAGAGCCATATTTTTATTTTCTTTTAAAATATTCCTAATTAATTTATGCTGATTTTTCTAAATAATAAGTTACCTCCCCTTCCTAGTCTTCATTACCTCTTTATTTTTTCCTTTTCAGCTCCAATCAAAATAGTAATTTGACGACTGCCTACTTAGGATCATCTTCTTTTGATTAATAATTTTATGAGTGATTTTATGTTTATTGATATAATAAGTACTGGAGCTGGATTGATATTTGAAATTGATAAATCTCAAGGTTTAGGAACACGACTAAAAAATGAAAATTTTCCATTATTACTCAGATAATTTCTTATCTTAATTTTTTGTTATCAATTTTAATGTCTACATAAGGACGAGGAAAAAACTAATAATTTTTATTCTTCAAATCTATTCTCTTTAACTACAAACTATCTTAAGTGTGCCTTCATTTATTCTATATCAATATTTATTCAATAGTATTATTTACATTTTATTATCCTGGAGCAAGGTTTTTCCGAAAATTACTCCTCAAATCTTCTTTTGCTTATCAAAAAGAGAGGTTACACACCTATATATCTATGAGCGGTTACTTCCAATTAATAACCACCAAGGGCATCCTATGATTTAATATGAGATCTTTTTATTCCAATTCTTTAATTTATACTTTGATTTAACATTAATTTTATATTAAGAAATTGTTTATTCAGTTTGAAGCGTTTTCATCATTGCATCCTATTTCATTAAACTCGAGCACTTCAATATAACTATATTCTGGATCAATATCTGTCTCTCTAGTAGTAGTAGTAGGAATTGTGGATTTATGAAAAATCTATCATTATTACACAACCCATTTTTACATTTCCAATTTTGTTTAGAACTAAATGCTGTTTTGGTTTCATTTTAATACATATCTTAAGATTGATTCTTATCCTGTAATACCAATGACCAATAGGTACCTTCTAGCCTTATTTTATTGTCTCCTTGTTTTTTTCCAAAGTATTTCCTGGTGTTATTTATTATTTAGTAAAACCTGTATTCTCACTTTAGCCTTATTGAGCATTAAGAGGAATAAAGGGTATACTTATGTATTAATTTTTTTTTGACTATTTACTCTTGAATATTAGATTTTTTGAGTGATTCACTTGAACATAAGAATTAGGTTTTTTCCTTCTTCTACATATTTAGCAAATGTCTTTGGATAAAAGAAGAAATCAATACTCAGAATCTACGAATTTGCTCTCCTTGAAACTCATGGTGGTTGATCTGAAAACTGTACTTCCAAAATTTTGATTTATTGTTCATCTTATTAAAACATCACTTAATGGCACTCAGCCTAATAAGTTATAAGTTCTAGGCTAAAATACAGTTAGATTTGCATACTCTTTCGACAGTTAGTAAATGGATGATGATTAGATTTGATTCAATTTCAGGTAAGTTATCGTCTAATCCAGGTCCCATTTATTTATTATTTGGAATCTAAATCTTTCTATTTTAACTCCTAAATACAAAAACCTTAGAAATATACTATATAGTTAATTATATAAACTATCAATCCTTTTAAGTAATCCATTCCAATAATGTGCCATTATCCCATCTCCCTCTGTGTTCTTCACCTTTTTCATCAACAACTGAACCGAGCCCATGTTGTTTACCGTCGTACCACTCTCCTACATATTTAGATCCATCAGCTATTAGGCTATTATTCAGATTTACGCCAATCAAATGTTCCATAGCCCTGTTTCTTATCATTCTGATAGGATCCTTTGTATCTTCTTCCATCTGCCCATTTAAACTCTCCTAATCCAGGCATTTTATTTTATCTCCATTATCCAATATATGTTCTTCCATCCCCCCAAACGTATGTCCCCATTCCATGTATTGCATTATCTAAAAATTCCCCCTCATAATATGATCCATCTGGCCATTTGAAAATCCCATGTCCTTCCTTTTTGCTTTAAATGTAAGCTCCTTTATAACTTGTACCATCTGGCCATATTTCATGTCCTAATCCATCTTACTTATCATCTTTCCAACTACCTTCATAACTTGCCCCATCTGCGTGAACATATTTCCCCTAACCATGCGCTATTATATTAACAAAAATAACCTTTATCATTATCCCATTCTCCTTCATAATAATCTCCATCTGCATGTATTAATCTACCATGACCATGTGCACAACTATTTTTCCAATATCCTTCATAATAACTACCTTCCTTCCAAACTTGTCTTCCTGACATATTCAATCAATACCATACCTCTACCCTGTCTTAATCCATATTTCCATTAACCATCATAAACCATCCCTTATTCAAATATTTAAGGCTCCAAGTAAACTGCCTCAGGATCATCTCCTCTTGTACTGTTGTATTTTTTCAAAATTCAAACTTTATGAAAATATGACAAATAAGTGAAAAATCGAGGTAACTATTTTCCTTTTAGACATAGAATAATAAGGCTCATTAAAACATTAGAAGGAACACTGAAATTATATTTTATATAAGCAATATATCTATCGTTCAATTCTCCTTCCCTCGCATTATTATATTAATAAAGATGTTTATTGTAGGTTTTAGTTGAAATTTCTTTCACCATTTATTAGGTGCCTTTATTCAAAATTTTTAATTGCGAATTTCAAAAGTGAGTGATCCGGTTAGTATTTTAGAGGAAAGGAGGTTTTTCTCCTCCTATCTCCCTTTTTANTACTTCCAAAATTTTGATTTATTGTTCATCTTATTAAAACATCACTTAATGGCACTCAGCCTAATAAGTTATAAGTTCTAGGCTAAAATACAGTTAGATTTGCATACTCTTTCGACAGTTAGTAAATGGATGATGATTAGATTTGATTCAATTTCAGGTAAGTTATCGTCTAATCCAGGTCCCATTTATTTATTATTTGGAATCTAAATCTTTCTATTTTAACTCCTAAATACAAAAACCTTAGAAATATACTATATAGTTAATTATATAAACTATCAATCCTTTTAAGTAATCCATTCCAATAATGTGCCATTATCCCATCTCCCTCTGTGTTCTTCACCTTTTTCATCAACAACTGAACCGAGCCCATGTTGTTTACCGTCGTACCACTCTCCTACATATTTAGATCCATCAGCTATTAGGCTATTATTCAGATTTACGCCAATCAAATGTTCCATAGCCCTGTTTCTTATCATTCTGATAGGATCCTTTGTATCTTCTTCCATCTGCCCATTTAAACTCTCCTAATCCAGGCATTTTATTTTATCTCCATTATCCAATATATGTTCTTCCATCCCCCCAAACGTATGTCCCCATTCCATGTATTGCATTATCTAAAAATTCCCCCTCATAATATGATCCATCTGGCCATTTGAAAATCCCATGTCCTTCCTTTTTGCTTTAAATGTAAGCTCCTTTATAACTTGTACCATCTGGCCATATTTCATGTCCTAATCCATCTTACTTATCATCTTTCCAACTACCTTCATAACTTGCCCCATCTGCGTGAACATATTTCCCCTAACCATGCGCTATTATATTAACAAAAATAACCTTTATCATTATCCCATTCTCCTTCATAATAATCTCCATCTGCATGTATTAATCTACCATGACCATGTGCACAACTATTTTTCCAATATCCTTCATAATAACTACCTTCCTTCCAAACTTGTCTTCCTGACATATTCAATCAATACCATACCTCTACCCTGTCTTAATCCATATTTCCATTAACCATCATAAACCATCCCTTATTCAAATATTTAAGGCTCCAAGTAAACTGCCTCAGGATCATCTCCTCTTGTACTGTTGTATTTTTTCAAAATTCAAACTTTATGAAAATATGACAAATAAGTGAAAAATCGAGGTAACTATTTTCCTTTTAGACATAGAATAATAAGGCTCATTAAAACATTAGAAGGAACACTGAAATTATATTTTATATAAGCAATATATCTATCGTTCAATTCTCCTTCCCTCGCATTATTATATTAATAAAGATGTTTATTGTAGGTTTTAGTTGAAATTTCTTTCACCATTTATTAGGTGCCTTTATTCAAAATTTTTAATTGCGAATTTCAAAAGTGAGTGATCCGGTTAGTATTTTAGAGGAAAGGAGGTTTTTCTCCTCCTATCTCCCTTTTTAGAAACATAAAGGAACCATAAATAAAAAAGTCATATTCTGTATTATTTAATTGTTTCATGAGATATATTGAGATCCTCTTGCCACACATTAAGAGAAAAGATAAGAATCGTTGTGATTTGGATTAAGAAGATGAAAATAATACATAATCCTGCTCGAAAGTACATGAGCCTTAAAAAATGCTCTCCTCTCTTACTTCTTTTAAACTCTCTTCTAGTTTTTTATATAGCAAACTATATTATTTTGATTAAATACTCTTAATTTTTTGTATAATTACTTCTTTTATTATTAATTAAATCTCTTTCATTAAATTTTGATGCTCAATGGAATTCAATAAAAGAAAAAATTATTACTCCTTTTACGAATTGAGGAGGAGATTATTCATCAATATGGTTTGAGAAAAGGGTGAAGAGCTTTCTCCTTTAACTCATTTTTTTAAGTTTGCTCTTTAAATCAAATAAAGGGCTAATGAAGTTACTTAAGAAAAAGCTCATATCAGAGTTCAACTCAAATTTAAGGGAGAATGATGAGGAGATGATGAATTCTTTTTTAAGTTGAAATTTTTTGTTTACTTTTTAATTTTGATTTTTCATTTCTAGCATAAGAATTAAAAATTTATGTTAGGAATTAAAATTATTAATTGCTCCTTTCTGTTCCCTATTATTACTAACTCAATTTTTAATTCAAAATTTTTTCTTTAAGTGCATAAATATTTTGCACTATTTTCAAGATCGTAGGTTTTTATTTGAAAATCAATAATTTATTAATGTGATCCAGGAATTTCCACTACCAAATCAATAATGTTAGCTTTTTATAAAACCATGTTTTTAATTCATTTTATCTTCTCTAGTCTTACTACTATTAAAATATTAAGGGAAATTAATAGTATTCGCTTTCAAATTAAAAATATTATTAAATATACCCAAATAAATTGTTTGTATTTAATTTCTGAAACTTATATTATATTAAATTATCTTGAAGAGATGAGTCTTTCAGATTTACCAATTATTAGAAAGAAAAATATGCTATTGTATTTGTTTTTGAGGAAACTTCAAACTTTTGATTCTATCTGAGTGATTTAATTTTGAATTAAAATATTTTAATTTCTATTCTAGCGATTTTCCCTCTTATTTTCTTCTTTTCTTTGGATCTAGTTTATAAAGAATAGAGCATAATTAAGTCGATCTTCAATAAATTTTTTGCATAATGAGCAATCGATAAGAGCATTTGGTGCGAAATGTAGATATTTATAATGCACTTTCTTCTGACAAAAATTGTTTGATAAATTATTAGAATATATTTTTTAGAATCTTCAACTATCCAGAATTGTTTTCTTTCATTTAGATTTTTACCTAATTAATATACTATATAGAAACATTGAAGTAAGATATCTTGAATAATTATTCATCTTTTTCTACATATAAATATTTTATTAGTACATTATTAATCTTTTAATTATCTGTTTACATTCCTTAAAAGTTCAAGTGATTGAAGTGTCATCACTTTAGATGATACTATATTTAGAACAGCTCAAAAATTGTTTTTAACAATTGATTTATGTCTGGCTATGCTTTTTTTTGATTTCTTTTACTGCTTTTTGTAAGCAGGTTTCTAATTCTAAATTTCGCAATTCGCCAGGCTTGAATTGAAAAATTCTTCTCATTTTTTAATACAAATTCGATGTCTAAAGTTTAATTATAATAGTATTGGAAGGTTTTTCTTATTCCCTTATAGCTTTTATTAAGATAACTTTATCGAAGTTAGCTAATAATTCTAGCCACTCATTTGTTTAATTGATGGGATTGAGAATAAATTACTATTTGTAACTTTAAGATATTTTTTTTTTGAATACTCTAATTACTGAAATTATGTATTTTGAATTGAAAAAAATAAAATTAATTTTAGAAATGGAATTCTAAATATATATGTGATTTTTATTAGCCGGATCAAATTATTATTTTTTCAACATATATTTTTGGATTCATAAATATAAGTTAAGACTTGAAAATATAATTTTCTCGAATGGATTAAACTAAGCGAACATATAATTGTACAAATGTATTACTAATTTATATAATATTATTATAATAGGATAATTTTAAGCAGTTATTAATATTTTTAGAATTACATTAAGAAGCCTACTTGGCTTTGGGAACCTGAAAAACAAATTATTATGCTTTGTCTTTGAAATATTTACGCCGTCTAAATCTTAACTCTGATGTAATTACTTGTGAGTATATATACTAAGGTAGCCTTGAATAAGTTCTTTAAGATACACTGATCAGAAGTTAAAATTTAAATTTTGTTAAAGAAATGCACTAAAATCTAACTTTATGATATTTTAGAGTTTAATTTTTATAGACTATTTTCAGCATTTTAAACTCTACACACATCTTTTTGGAGAAAATAATCTAAGAAATTTTAAAGGGACCATGAATTGGTTTTGAGAAGAAAATAATCAATAAAATAAACTAAATAAAATACATTTTTTTGAAACTAGTAAAGTACTCAATACAAAAATCCTTAAAATTTGGCAAGAACTTGATTTTCTAAAGATGATAAATTATTCATAGTCAACTAAACCAGTGTGTATATTAGATTCAATTAGTCAAGAATGCTATCTGGCTTACTAAGTGTTGATTGGCAATGTGAATGGAGAAATCTATGCCCAATACTTAATTGATCTTTATGAAAACATAAGCAATCATTATCAAGAAAAAAATGTGATATTTATATTAGAATATTTTTAGGTTTATCTTCATAAGATAGTGTTTAAGATGTTAAAGGTGACGCCACATAAATTATTATCAACTTACAAGCCTCAATTTAATCCAATAGAAAAAATTTGGTATTGTTTCAAAGAGTATTTACGTAAATAGACTTAATTATCTTATACAAGTGTACATTAAGAAATACATAAATTTTAATCATGTTCCAGAATAATAATTTTAAAGAACATATTTCAATATATTTCCATTTTTTAACATGTTATAATAAAGAGGAGTTTAGATGATTACTGATCTGTATTTATTTATATGTAATTAAGATGTATAAATTCTGATCAATCATAGCATATATTCAGGTTAAGGAAATTTTGAATTAAAATTTGTGTTGTTTATATTAGTTAAAAATTAATTTTATGATTTGGCTCTTAAATTCTTTCAAAATTATTTTTTTTTTCACAATCAATTTAGAAATTAATTGTTTAATTTAAAAAGGACCTAAACATAACTAATTTGCTAAAAAATATAATAGAAGCTTAAAAGAAGTAAGAAAATGAAAGAAGGAGCACTTCTCAAAGCTTAAACTTTGGAGAAGGAGCATGTATTGCTCTCATTTCATAAAACATATATATATAATTCTCATTGTTCCTCTTCTTTTAAGTAGTAAGATCTGAACTACAATAATAGATAAATAGATGTAAAAAAGGTTTTGAGGACTAATAAAAATAGCATTAAGGCTTATTAAATAGAAAACTATAACATAATCCTTATTTTATAAGTATATTTAATAATATTAATTGATTGTTTTTAATAGTAGCGATTTCAATATTTTAAAGTTAAAAAACAATAGAAAATTTAGTATAATATATTTTATAAAAGAAAATTGAATTTAATTTTAGTTCAATAATATACTAGTACTCCTTTAATTTGCTAAGGACCATTTTAACTTTCGAACCTATTAAACTTTATAGTTCGCTTGCTGGTCTACCCCAAGGTTATGCTAATTTGGCTATGGGACAATGCACTGAAATTAATTGTTCAGAATTAGTTTTTTATTTTTAAATGTCCACACCATTTCCAACCATTGACAGTGAAGCTTTTTTTTAAATATGAATTGATGGTTTTTGACTTGTTCTCAATTAATGTTAAGAAGTATTGACAATTTCTGCCAAAGAGGCTTTCGAAAAAGGCTACGACCTTCTAACTATTGAGTAAAAAGATGTTTATTTAGCATTTTAATGAGCACCATATTCACTTAAATTTTATGGATCATTCATACATGCTTGGCAATTACCCATTTCTATTTTCAAATTATATAAATAATTGATTTAATAATTTTACACATACAAACTATTCTCATTTATTCTCTTAAAGTATTTTTATTACTTTAGTTTATAATTAAAATGAATATTTTTTTAAAAGAAAAGGAATTTAATCATTTAATAACACTTTATCTTAATATTACTTCTCAAGAAAATAATAATTAATCATCATTATTAATAATTTTAAATTAAATTAGAACTCTGTTTGCATATCCATTATAGAATTAATTACTTAATATTAATTAAGAAATTTAATTGACTTATAAAATTCTATGGAATATGATTACAGAAATTAATAAAATAATAGATAGATAATTAAAATCTATGGATATAGATTATACAATTATCATAGTGTCAGTGTGCTTTTTGTTTATGAATAGCAATAGACAATTAATTAGTTAATAAATTATATACATAATTAGATCAATAGTACGTAATATCTTGCTTTAATTTATTCCATTATGAAATATCTTTTAATTTTCTTGGGTTCAAAACTATCTTACATATCCAAAATATTCATTAATAAAAAATCCAGAAACTCAAAAATGACACTCTTTGAATAATTAGGAGGTGAAGCCGCTGTCACAGCTGTCACAACATAATTCTATGCTAACATCCAAGCTGATGCTACAGTTTCCAATTTCTTCAATGGAATCAATATGGCTGATTAGACAAATAAGACAGCTTCATTCTTATGCGCTGCTCTTGGAGGACCAAAGGCATGGGGAGGCAGAGTATTATTTTATATGATAATATTTATTAGAACTTGAAGGAAGTTCATGCCAACATGGGAGTCACAAATGCCTAATTCACAACAGTCATTGGACATTTGAGAAGTGCTTTGACCTCAGCCGGTGTTGCTGCTGATTTGGTCGAATAAACCGTCGCTGTTGCTGAAACAGTTAGAGGAGACGTCGTCACAGCCTGATTTATATAATATATCATGCACATATATCCAATAGCATCTCAAATATCTATCCTATACTTTATATTGTTTATCAAATATTTCTTTGACAAATCTAGAAAAATACTTCCAATTAAATTGTTTGATAATATGAATTTTTTAAAAACGATGATTTCCCTCTTTTTCTAATGTTTCTTTTTTCATAAATTATTCAAGTTAATAATTCAATATGAGAAATGAATCTAATATCTTATTGTATTATATTAAAACAATTTATATTATATCTGATTATATTTGGAAAACTATAAATATTTATCAATTTTGTATGCATCATATTTATATTAGCAAATTTTATAAATAATTATTATAATTTATCAGATTTATATTATTTTCAATGTTGATTTAATCTAGAATATACTAAATAGATATTGCCTCCTTATATTAGGAATAGTAGAATAATTATCTTTTATTNTTTATTCTCTTAAAGTATTTTTATTACTTTAGTTTATAATTAAAATGAATATTTTTTTAAAAGAAAAGGAATTTAATCATTTAATAACACTTTATCTTAATATTACTTCTCAAGAAAATAATAATTAATCATCATTATTAATAATTTTAAATTAAATTAGAACTCTGTTTGCATATCCATTATAGAATTAATTACTTAATATTAATTAAGAAATTTAATTGACTTATAAAATTCTATGGAATATGATTACAGAAATTAATAAAATAATAGATAGATAATTAAAATCTATGGATATAGATTATACAATTATCATAGTGTCAGTGTGCTTTTTGTTTATGAATAGCAATAGACAATTAATTAGTTAATAAATTATATACATAATTAGATCAATAGTACGTAATATCTTGCTTTAATTTATTCCATTATGAAATATCTTTTAATTTTCTTGGGTTCAAAACTATCTTACATATCCAAAATATTCATTAATAAAAAATCCAGAAACTCAAAAATGACACTCTTTGAATAATTAGGAGGTGAAGCCGCTGTCACAGCTGTCACAACATAATTCTATGCTAACATCCAAGCTGATGCTACAGTTTCCAATTTCTTCAATGGAATCAATATGGCTGATTAGACAAATAAGACAGCTTCATTCTTATGCGCTGCTCTTGGAGGACCAAAGGCATGGGGAGGCAGAGTATTATTTTATATGATAATATTTATTAGAACTTGAAGGAAGTTCATGCCAACATGGGAGTCACAAATGCCTAATTCACAACAGTCATTGGACATTTGAGAAGTGCTTTGACCTCAGCCGGTGTTGCTGCTGATTTGGTCGAATAAACCGTCGCTGTTGCTGAAACAGTTAGAGGAGACGTCGTCACAGCCTGATTTATATAATATATCATGCACATATATCCAATAGCATCTCAAATATCTATCCTATACTTTATATTGTTTATCAAATATTTCTTTGACAAATCTAGAAAAATACTTCCAATTAAATTGTTTGATAATATGAATTTTTTAAAAACGATGATTTCCCTCTTTTTCTAATGTTTCTTTTTTCATAAATTATTCAAGTTAATAATTCAATATGAGAAATGAATCTAATATCTTATTGTATTATATTAAAACAATTTATATTATATCTGATTATATTTGGAAAACTATAAATATTTATCAATTTTGTATGCATCATATTTATATTAGCAAATTTTATAAATAATTATTATAATTTATCAGATTTATATTATTTTCAATGTTGATTTAATCTAGAATATACTAAATAGATATTGCCTCCTTATATTAGGAATAGTAGAATAATTATCTTTTATTGTAATAAAAAATAAACAATAATTATAATAATTTAATTTTAATATATTTATATTGTTATTCAATATTTTTAACATTACTGAATTATTAAAGTTCTCGGATTCAGTAAATATATAATTAATATTATATTTTTAATAAAACGAATGTGGTAATCTCAATTGTATATAAGATATTTATTTCTTAATCTTCTTTGTTGAAAGTGAAAAATTATGAAAATAAAGTTACAGTGAAATATATTATTATTTAACTTGTTATCTAAACTGAAATTTATCAAAGATAATAAAATCATTTCGTTAATTGACTAATAAATATAAATATCATATTTTAAGTTACATCTGTAACAATAATAAAAAAAATTTATTTTATATTAAAATAAAAATTATAACGATAAAATAAGATTAGATGTATATATATATTTTCATTATTTCATATTATAAATATAAGGAACGGAAAATCCTTTAATTTAATATTTTATGTACACTTAAATAAAGATAAATTATTAATAAATGAAAAATAGTTTTCATTCTTCACAATTATTGATTAATGTTTAATGGCAAAAGAATGCAGATTCCTTTTGGAGTATTTTTGATGTAATCTTATAATATTCTTAAATCATTTTCTTAAATATTAGAGAAGATAATGATAAAGAATTATCATAACAAAATTAATATCATACAAGCCAGTAATTTATATTTGGGATGAAAAATAAAATTATTAAGTAATAGATATATTTGATCTATTTAAGAAATATTTAATGATATTTTTGATATTTATTTTAGTATTCAAATATTAATGAAATAAAAGCATGAAAAACATGAGAACAAAATGGAAATGGTACCAATAATTAATTTTTATTATTCAATTTGATTTAGAAATATTCATATTATTGGATTCCGTTATATGACCAGAAAATATAAGAAAAAAAGCCAAAATTAGGATTAACTTCTTTGTTATTCTTATTTCTTGTTATTTGCTAAGGTTTATTAGGCGGTAACATCTAGTTTAATGATTGATCAATTTATCATTAATAAGAATTGTAAGATATTGACAACGTAATTTTTATAATCACTTGATATCCAAACAGAATTTTATTTAATTAGTTTTTATTTATATGTCAACTCATTTTTAAATTATTACGAAGATTATCCATAATTATAATATACTCTTCCTATTCATAATATTTTCCTACTACTCTTTTCAAATCCTATAGTTATTAAAGATAAAATTAGGAATTAAGATTACCAATTATAAGCTAATAAGCCATGAATTCATCAGATCATATCACCCCTAGTATGCTTATTCTTTAATTTCTTTATTGTTTAATTTAATTTTTGTTTTCATACATTAAATTCGAACATTTATATTATTTCTGTTAATGTCCAATAGTTGTTTCCATTTAAATAAATAAATTAATAATTATAGGAGCTCAAGCTTCAATTTTTTCAAAAATATTGATATTTAAATACACATGCTTCAATACCAAAGGAGAGTCGGTTTTATTTAATTGTGTATTTATATTTGGTTTTACAATGCTTTTTCAATATTATTGAAAATGATTTTCTAAAATTTTCTGTTACAAGATCAGATGAGTCTGCTTTTATAATAAACTTTTTAATCTAATATATATGTCTTCTATTTAAATTGATATGCATAGATTTTTCAAGTTATTCATTCATTTCTACTCAAAAAAGTAAATTTGTTATTGTTAAAGACCCAATTCACCAGCAATTGATCTAGTTGAGTAATTTTATTTTCTTAATTTTAAGATGGAAGTCTATATTTTTCAAACTAAATCATAACTCATCTTATTTCTAAAAACTAGATTTGTGTTTTTTCTAAATTTTTTTTTCTTAAAATTTATTCGTATCATAAGGTTTGATTTCAATTAATAGTTTATCCTATAGAAGTTATCTCTTTTATAAATATGTAAAGGAGTGGTAATTTAACCATTAATTTGATCAATTATTATTAGGAACTTGCAATTGCTAGACTAGAGAATTTAAATTACATAATGAATATTAATAGAAAATAAAATTTTATTAGAGAGAAGTTTGATATCAAGAATAAAGAATTCTTCTAATGATTGGTAATACATATTATTATGATTGTGATAATGTTATCTGATTAACTACAAACTATATAATGTAAATTTTTAATATATATTCCACTATTCTTATATTTTTGACTGAAATATAATAGAATGAATAAAGCATATTGATACTCATTTAAACTTTAGAATATTCAATAAGTTAAAGTAGTGGCTTCAAGTACCATAATATGATGATCGAATAAAATATTACAAATATAAATCAATATGAACTACTGATCATATTATTTAAAAAATAACAGTTATTTTTAAAGTACTCATAAAAGTTTTGGATTGTGATCTAAACTTTATATTTAAATTAGTTAAATAAACTAATCAATTAATCTCATTATTGATTTAACCTTATTTTATAACTTTTAAAAAGAATCCGAAAACAAAGGTTATATAAGGTTTATGAAAATATAAGAAAGTAGATTTTATATGTGAATTGGATCAATTAATTTTCTTTATCCTTTAAATGAATTTTTCAAGTAAATTAGACAATATTGTTATTTAGACTTATATAAATGTATATTTTTGTAAAGAATGGATGGTAAGGAATAATGGAATAATTTATCTTGGATATGATTGTTTAAATTAAAAAATAAAAATAATCAATTTCTCTTAAATTGCATAATATTTCTAATTTCTTGTTGAAATTGATTTTATAAATGATTCTATTTATGGATATTTAATATAATTCTCTCTCAATTCTAACTATATTATTATAAAATAATGGAAATAATCAAAATAGGTTCAATTGTGAGTATTTCTCATTTATAGGATGATGATGCATTAATAGGTGGAGATGGATTTATAAAAAAGTATTACGAAATCAATAATATAGTGCTGTAATACTTAAAGGAATGTCACCTTAAAATAAATTAGACACTAAGGATTTTAACATAAGCTATTTTAGTCAAATGAAGTAATTAATAGTTGTTATAATAGCATGCCTAATTGCTTATTTGTAGTTTGTCCAAGAACATCAAATGGTAAAAAAGTTGAAGTAGCCAAACTATTTCCTTAAAGAAAAAAGAAACCTTTTGGATCAATTAGTGATGATGTAACTGATCAAAAAAGTGAAATTACACCTGTTAGATCATAAGTATTATTTTATTATATTTGCTATTTAGATTAAGTCAGTCACTCATTCGGTACAACCATTATTAAGTGAAAAATAAGTTAGGGACAATCAAATGAATTTGTTTAATGAATTTAAATTTAATGTAGATGGTTTTGAGAAAGAAAAAGGCAATTATGTTAAATATGAAGAGCCAATATAATTATTACATTTAGCATCATCTAAATGGTTATGTTCATTATTAGATGAAGCTAAATTTGAAAATTAAAACTTTAAGCTTGCTTTAAGTGATTATACAAGCGATGAAACTCTATTTAAAATAGTGGCTACTTACAAATATTAAAAGGAAGGAGATCAAATAGTTTACTCATAAGAAATCGTCANCCATAATATGATGATCGAATAAAATATTACAAATATAAATCAATATGAACTACTGATCATATTATTTAAAAAATAACAGTTATTTTTAAAGTACTCATAAAAGTTTTGGATTGTGATCTAAACTTTATATTTAAATTAGTTAAATAAACTAATCAATTAATCTCATTATTGATTTAACCTTATTTTATAACTTTTAAAAAGAATCCGAAAACAAAGGTTATATAAGGTTTATGAAAATATAAGAAAGTAGATTTTATATGTGAATTGGATCAATTAATTTTCTTTATCCTTTAAATGAATTTTTCAAGTAAATTAGACAATATTGTTATTTAGACTTATATAAATGTATATTTTTGTAAAGAATGGATGGTAAGGAATAATGGAATAATTTATCTTGGATATGATTGTTTAAATTAAAAAATAAAAATAATCAATTTCTCTTAAATTGCATAATATTTCTAATTTCTTGTTGAAATTGATTTTATAAATGATTCTATTTATGGATATTTAATATAATTCTCTCTCAATTCTAACTATATTATTATAAAATAATGGAAATAATCAAAATAGGTTCAATTGTGAGTATTTCTCATTTATAGGATGATGATGCATTAATAGGTGGAGATGGATTTATAAAAAAGTATTACGAAATCAATAATATAGTGCTGTAATACTTAAAGGAATGTCACCTTAAAATAAATTAGACACTAAGGATTTTAACATAAGCTATTTTAGTCAAATGAAGTAATTAATAGTTGTTATAATAGCATGCCTAATTGCTTATTTGTAGTTTGTCCAAGAACATCAAATGGTAAAAAAGTTGAAGTAGCCAAACTATTTCCTTAAAGAAAAAAGAAACCTTTTGGATCAATTAGTGATGATGTAACTGATCAAAAAAGTGAAATTACACCTGTTAGATCATAAGTATTATTTTATTATATTTGCTATTTAGATTAAGTCAGTCACTCATTCGGTACAACCATTATTAAGTGAAAAATAAGTTAGGGACAATCAAATGAATTTGTTTAATGAATTTAAATTTAATGTAGATGGTTTTGAGAAAGAAAAAGGCAATTATGTTAAATATGAAGAGCCAATATAATTATTACATTTAGCATCATCTAAATGGTTATGTTCATTATTAGATGAAGCTAAATTTGAAAATTAAAACTTTAAGCTTGCTTTAAGTGATTATACAAGCGATGAAACTCTATTTAAAATAGTGGCTACTTACAAATATTAAAAGGAAGGAGATCAAATAGTTTACTCATAAGAAATCGTCAGAATTATGCGTATGATACCTTTTCTTGGAAAACCAACTTATTTACATTGTTCAGGTGAAATTCCACAAAAAGCAATTAAAGAATATAGAGAAAGTAGTGAAGTTAAGATTTAAAAGAGAGAAATTAATGCCTCACTTGAAGAATCAACATCTTGGAAAATTAATTTATTTTCTGAAGAATTACCTATAGATGGTGATTTAGTATGGATTCATCATTCTGAAACATGTTCATAATTGGCTGTTGAATATGAAAGAGATCTAAATAAAGCTAAGATTTCAGTTTTTTAAACAGATTTAAGTGAGTTATCATTTGACAATTATAGTGGTAATGCTTATTCATTGTGGATAATTGAAGATGAAGATTATAAAAAAGGAGGACCTTACTTATATTCAAATAATTATAGATTAAAACATTTTCACACTGGATTATATTTAGCTTGTGTTAGAGTTGTTCCTAAAGTATAAGAAGACATTAAAATTGATCCATATGGTAAAAAGAAAGTTATTATACCAAAGAGTAAAAAAGTTCCTGCTACTTTTTCTTTATAAGTTTAGCCTAATAAGGATGCCTTATTTAGATTTGAACCATTAAAATCAGTTGATAAAGATTAAATTTCATCTGATTTTATTTAGATTAGAAGTGTTGCATAAGGAAAGTATCTTGATGTTATAAGTAAATTTCATCAGGATGGCAATACTTTTAAACCAATTATTTTAAATTAAAAGAATGAACATGCAGTATTTAAAATCTTTAGAGCTAATAAATAAGAAACTTAAGAAATACTTTTTTTAGATTCATGTACAAAATAATTAAGAAAGTATTAATTTTATATCAATTTACCTTTTAAATTTGAATAAAATTAAATATTTTAATAATTATCAGATGATGTTGATCTATTAAAAATAAAGACTAAAAAATTAGCTACTGCTTAAAGATGTATTCAAAATTTAGATGACTTTCTTAGATAAAAAATATATAATTCAAGTCCATCATAAAAATATGGTTTCATATCATAAAAAAGGTAGAAACTCTTAAAGGATTAACATTTCTTTGATGTATTATTATAGATTCTTACATCTACAGTAACAAAACAAGAATTAGAGATATGGTCAAATAAAAAGGGAAATCTCAAAGCAATGGAACAGCCTTCTATTACTGAGAAAAATCAAAGAAAATAATTGTTGAGTATATCTGAAAAAGAAAAATTAGAATTGTCTAATTCAAAGGTTGAAGTTTGTAATATGATATTTGTATTACTATAAACTAGTGTAATAAATAATACAAACAATTAACTTTATCTATTTGAAAGATTACCTGATTATTAGCATTATTGTAAGTATCTTCCATAAACAATTAATTTTTTGATTGAAATGGTTAAAAGTAATGAGAAGATTTTAATCAATTTATGTAATAATTTAAAAATTGAATTTGATTACATAAAATAACAAGAAATTTAAGATGATTTTCAAAGTAAAGTAAAAGTATTAATCAATTTTTACGAAAAAGATGTTGGAATATAATAAGAGGTTTCTATACCTGTAAAAGTTCATGATCGTATCATTACAAGGCCAATTAATATAGTATAATATTTTTTTAATCTGTTTATTGATGACACTGCTAAAAACAATGAACATTATTTGAAATTTCTTAGACATATTTGTAGATTTAAAAATAATGCAATTAGTATTAATTAAGAAAATCTGTTCAAATTGTATAAGAAATACAGCAAATAAACAAAATTGTTATAAATCGAAACTAATAATGGATGTATTATAGATAAAGAAATCTCATTTTAATATGAATTATTATAATTCTTTTCAGAAGTATCATATGGAAGAAATTATTTATGGTAAGCAGAATTAAGTCCATTGTTTGAAAAAGAGATTTTAATAAATTAGATTTGGAATCCAAATTAGATTGAAGGAAATTAAATAGATGATAAATTAAGGTCATATTGGTGTAGGTTAAGTAGAACATTGTATATAGATTAATAACCTTTTTAATATTTAATAGTTCCTAATTATTGCCGATTATATTCTCCTTATTAAGAGTAATTAAAAAATAGAAATGATGAAGAGATTGAAAAATAATTTAAATTGAAGAAGATGTTTAAATATATAAAATCTAAAAGAAGTGATGTATATAAAGCAATAGCTAGTGTTGCATCTAGTGATTTATTAAATGATGAATTAATATTTAATGCAGCTGATTAAATTTTAACAATGTTATAATTAGATATAATGCCAAGTAAATATTACAAAAAGATAATTAAATATATGTCAGAGATATTTATTTATGATAGAAAGAATCTTGATTATTTGAATGCTGCAGTTAAAAGTTATTAATAAATTGTAAATGAGAGAAAAAGTAGAAAAAGTTTAGTAATGAATTAATTTGGAAATGCTTTTAGTGGAATGAAAGATCTTATTTAACTTAAATAAGATGATAAAGTAGATATTGTAGAAGAAGAAGAAGAAGAAGAAATTAATTTGTATGATTAACCTAAATTATTTTTGAATCCAATAATGAAAGGATTTATGACAATGAGTAATTAATTGGAAGGTATGATTACTTTACCAAAATCTTAGTAAGAAATTGAATTTAAATTGAAAGTGTGTTCAATTCTAGATCATTTTTTAGATAGAAGATAAAACTTTTTAATTTCTAATATTCTATTATTTTTCATAAAATATTAATATACAAATGAAGATTTATCTGATGAAGATGATGATTAAACTATTAAAGCAGCACCAAAAATATTTAATAATAACTATAAAACATTGATTCCAACTATTGCTAGAACTGGTATTGATGAAATTGATGAACCTGAAGACATAAATTAAGATATACTTTAAATGGCAGTTAAGAAGCCACCAGTATTTATTAACTATTTTTAAAAATATTAAATATAATCTGAAGAGGAATTCTAAGAATTAGATTATTATTTAAGTTAAGCATAAAAGTTTGAAAATGAAAGATTAAGTGAAAGTTAATTAAAGGAAAAGCAAGTTGCAAGTTTATTACCATATTTGATATCTACTTACTTTTTGGTTAAGGATTAAGTACTAGAAGAAAGATGTCTTAATGTTATAATGAGAGTATTCAATTAAAGAGAAGAATTAAGAGAAAATATGAAAAAATTACAAATCTTATTTGATGATGATAATATTAAAATATATGAATTTGTTGAACATCTTTAAAAAGATTTAAGAATAATGGTTGAAAAGACAGAAATTTGGTTAACTCAATTTAAGGCTGGATATGATGTTGAAGAACTTGATAAATGTTGTAATATTATAAGACAATTAAGTTTATGTATGAGATAAGGAGTTTAAGTTAATGATCAAAAATCAGAATTATTAGTAGAAGTAGTCAATAAAGAGATTTATGATTCTGAAAAGTAATCAGTTATGACCTTTTTAAAAATTCATGAAATTATTGTCAATCTAATTTAAAATGGTATGGCACATTTTATATCTGTTTTGAATGATGAATAAATCAAAATTTAAAGAAAAGAATAACTTTTATAACTATTTTCAAATTCATTTTAATTTCTCATCTGTTATTGTTAAAACAATAAGGGAAATCAATTAATACTCTATCAATATTTAGAAATATATTTATAATATATATAATATGATGTAGGATAATGTAAACTTTTAATTGAAATATTTAAAGATAATCCAAGATTATTAAATACTGGAGTTAAATCTCTAGTATCAAGATTAGTTGAAATCATTGAAAGAGAAGGAAGATAAGTTAAATTTATTGATATGTAATATATAGATTTATATTCATTTTAGATTAATAAATTTAATTAGTATTGGAGGATAATATTTATTAGAAAATCAAATTTTAATATTAAATACTTTCTTACCTATGAGAGAATTGAATGAAACAGAATAAAGATTATTGTATGCAGAAGGTAGTTAATAAAAGGATCTTAGATTTTATTTTGATGATTAATTTTTAGAACCAGAAGAAAATTTAATACATTAATTGTAATTAATTGATTGGAAAGATTGTTATAGAGATGAACCATTTTTATATCATTCTAAGATTTTAGATTTGTTATTATAAACTTCTTTTATTGATGATACTGCAAGAGATTATCATCCTTCACTTATGCCTACAGATAGTTTTAATATTAGTGTTTTTAAATTAAAAAAAATGATTAAACCAAGTTATCTATTAGAAATCTTAAGATTAGATGATGATATGGTATCAATAAAACATAGATTAACAAGAATGCCAACTCAATTTATTAAAAATTAAGCTGATTAATAATAAGATGAATAATTTAATAAAAAGAAAGGTTACTCTGCTATTAAACCTATTGTTTGTGAGTTTTTGAGATTGGTACATATTGTAAGTGAAAAAAATAATGCATAAGAAGGTTTATTTTCATAATTGAGTAGACAATTTATACATTTTGTTGAATTTGAAACTAAAAAATTAGAAGTTGTTGCAGCTGGAACAGATTATTAAAATTATTATTTAGATTATATCATTGGATAAGTTATTCCATTAATATTATGTTATCATTAAAGAGTTTTGAGTGTTTAATAAGAGGATGTTAAAACTGCATTAATTGAATTTTCTAATCAATTTGCTAAAGCTCTTTGTTCTAGTTTTTATTTAAAGTTGACAAAATTTGAAGAATTAGAAATCATTGCAAAATTGAGAGAATATTATTAAAATGAATACTATGAACCTTCCTTTAGATAAGAAGGAGAATAATCAATATTACATTTATATCATGTTTAATATTAATTATAAGATGGTGATGATTTATAGAAACCAATTTAAGAATAATAATTATAATAAATTCCAAAGAAATCTTAAACAAAATCTAAAAATCTATTAAGTTAATTTGCCTCTTTGAATTTGTCATTAAATAAAACAAGTAAACACAAAAGAAATGATTTAACTCCAATAAAATTAGAAGAATAATGGAAAAGATTTGCTGAGGAGATATTTAAATCATAAAAATTGGAAGAAGAAATAGATATCGAAAAGTAAGCATTGGCAGATGCAATCATAGGAATAGATAAATTAATAAAGGAACCTTGTGAAATTAAGCCATCTTTGGAATCAATATTAAAGAAATTCATCACATTTCTTTAGACTGCTGTATTACAATAAGACAATAAAGGAACTATTGTTATATTATTAAAAATTATGTCAAAGATTATTGAGAAATAAGATTCAGATGAAAAGAAAGAATACTATTAAAAATTATTTGATAATTTAGGAGCAACAAGAATGGTACTTAATGTTATTACAGATTATTCAAAATTACTTAGTAATGAAATGTTATTTTATTTAATTTCATTTATAAATGTATTACTTAGAAATGGTAATACATAAGTATAGAATACAATTTATACATTTTGTCAAACTCAATAAAAAAGTGAAGTAATGTTTTAGACATTTGCAAGATATCTAGAAATTGCTGCTACATCTGGAAGAGATATGAATGAAGATTAAGAGGAAGTTGAAATTTAAAAGAAAATTGTAAATTGTATTTTGAAATTCTTCTAAAATTGTACTGAGGGACATTATTAAAATATGTAAAATTACATAAGATATTAAAATAATTCAAGAGCATCTAAAGATCTAATCAATTTGGTGGCTGATTTATTTAAAAATTATGATAGAACTAAATAAAATTTTAGTAATTTAATGTGTTGTTTAGATACATTAAATGAATTAGTTTAAGGTCCTTGTTCAGAAAATTAAATAGCAGTGGCAGATTCTAAATTCTTTGATGTTGTATAAGAAATGTTTCCTTTAAGAAAAAATGCTGCAATATAATAAAAAACCATTAAAGTTGCAGCAACTAAAAGGATAAGTGTATTGCCTTCTTAATCTACTTCTAATTTATTAACAAGAGGTATGAAGGCATAATTATAAAATAAGATATTGGTTTTGGTTCTTTCATTGTTGGAGAATAGAGAAATAAGAGGAAAGAATTCAATAATTAAAAGAATTATGAGAGTATTACCTATGAATGTTTTAGAAAGACATATAAGTAAAATTTATAAAAAATGGTTTAATAAATATACAGGTGATTATAATATGTAAGCATTTGAATTGTTAAAGATTGATGCAATGGAATTAAATGAAGATGGATAGGAGAATAAGGATTGTGAAATTATTATTTAGAATGGTTTCTATATAATGTTCTTAATTTGTTATTATATGGAAAGTGATGAAGAGATTGATTCAGTTTTCATTGGATATAATAAATAATATCTTAAAAGTTAAAATCAACAGAATTAATTGTTTGATCCAAATTCTACCTTAGGATAATTATTTGCTTTGGGAATGGAATTGTATGAAATGTCCTTATTAAAAACTTAATAGATGTTTAATGAATTAAATAAGGCCAGAAAGGATGATCCAGAATTTATTATGGAATAGATGAAACGTAAATAAGAGGAAAAGAAGAAAAGATTGAAAAAAGCATTCATGTTTTTCAGAGCCAGAACTGCTCATATAGAAGTAGTTAGGGATGATCAAATAGAATTAGTTTTTTTCCCATTGTTACCATTTAGTAAATTAAATAAAGATGAGAAACAATCCTTTCAATAAACTGTTGATCGTTCTTCAGCTAAATCAAAGGTTTAGGATCTAATGGAAAAGAGTCCTGAATTAATCTAAATTATGAGACATGAGGAAGAGATGAATAGATTCTATAAACAATATAAGATTATTGGATTCTTTGCTAATTATATCTAATTGTGGAAAGATTTAGCATTCTATTTGACTCTTATAATCAATATTATGATTATAGGTTCTTTTTCACATTAATCAGATCCAGAAAGACCTAAAGATGATGTTAGTAATGAAGCTTTAAATGAATATATATTTTTTAGAAAGGATGAATGGAATTAAACATAAACTAAAGAATTAATAAGTACATTAGGATATGCAATGATGATTTGTTCTTTATTTGTTGTATTATTTGTCTTAGCCAGAATAGCTCCTCTTATTATTAAAAAAGCATTACAAAGAAAACCCTTATTAGAAGGACAAGGTATGATAAGATTATTAATAAATTGGTTGGCAAAATTCTTTTTTGTAATCTTTTATTGTTTACAAGATTTCCAATTAGTATACTATTTAGGATATGGTGCATTATCTGTAATTGGTACATTAGTACATCCATTCTTCTTTTGTTTTCATTTGACAGTCATACTTATAAGATATCCAACATTAAGTAATGTTGTTAGAGCAGTCACAATGCCTTGGTAATAATTAGTACTTACTCTATTATTAATCATAATTATTACATATATATTTACACTAATTGCTTTTTATGCTTTACAAGAACCCTTTGGATTAGATTGTAAGGAAGTTAGTATATGCTTCTTATAAATATTTGATAAGAATTTTAAAAATCCTGGAGGAATAGGAGGTGACATTACTAATAATAATCCATCTCCTACTTATGAGATCTTTAGATATATTTATGATCAAATTAATAATCTCTTATTAGTTATTATTATGGTAAGTATTGCATCAGGTATTATTATTGATACTTTTGGATAATTAAGAGAAGATGAAAATAGAATGAATAGTGATATAAAAGATAAGTGTTTTATTTGTGGTCAAGAGAAGTAATTAACATAATATATATATAATTTAGTATAATTTTTGAAAGGAGTTCTGATGGTTCATCTGGTGGATTTAAAAATCATATAAGACAGAATCATTATATGTGGAATTACTTATATTGTATATATAAATTAATAAATTATTAATAGATATTGCATATTTATAATGGAAAGATCCATAAGACTATTCAGGTATAGAATCATATGTGGATAAAAAAATAAAAGATACTGATTTGAGTTGGATTCCTTTTGGAAGAGCAAGAGAATTATACAAAGGAGAGGATGAATAAGAAAAATAAGCTAAATAGATGGAATAATCCTCTAGTAATATTGTATCATTATTGACATATTCAAATGATATAATTTAAGCACTAAAAGAAAAGAAAGAAAAAAGAAAACAACATTTCACATAATAAACTCAACCAACACAATTTAAGGAGTAAATTGTATCATAATAATCAATGGCTTTAATATGAATATCATTTTATAACTCCATAAACTTATTGATTTGTTAATAAATTAGTTCTTATTTTAGGTTTCTTTCTCTTTAATTATTTATATATTGTTGTTAAAGTTAATTCTTTACTTAATTTTTCAGAATAATAATCGCTCAAAGATATGGATTTTTACTCCCTTTATTTGATTAATATTGACTTTTAGTGCTCTCCATAGTTTTTTATTGTTCTGATTCTGATCTTATATTTGATGGTATTTTTTCTATTTTATTATTCATCAATCTATCAAAAATTGGATATCTTTCAGTTTTTTTTGATCTTCTACTTGATAGATTTTTAGGAGTAATCTCAGGTTTTATTGAATTTATTAATAATTTATACTAGTGTTATTATCTTATTTTTCATCTTCTATAGTCATAATTATTTTAATTTCACTGTTTGCTGTCTAAGAATTTAATTCAATCAATTGAACCTAAAATTAATCTGATGCTATATCAGAACATGTTTATCCTCCAGATTATATAATTAAATCCAAAAATAAATAATAAGCAGTAGTGGCATCATTATGTTAATTTGAAATTAAACATTAATATATATATTTTTTTTAAATCCCAATATTTCTACTTAATTAACAACATTGTTATCTATTAGTATTTTATGTTATCCAATTAAAATTCCTTGCTTAATTTAAAAACTAGTTTTATATAAATTAGACCATGGATGTTTTCTAATTTAATCAATGTTTTGTCTATCTTCAGGATCTGGATTTAAAATTTATTTTAACACACCTTTTGCATCATTACTTAAAAAATTAGGAACCTTATAATTGGCTGATAGAATTTTTTTGTATAATTAATTTGTATTTGCATCTTCAAAAGGTAAATATCCACACAACATAAAAAATAATACTCCACTACTCCATATATCTGCTTATAAACCACTGTAAAGTTTTCTTGATATCATTTCAGGTGCTGCATAACAAGGTGATCCACAAGCTCATCATAGGTATTAGAGAGACCAAAATCAACAATTTTAATTCTTCATTTTATTAAGAGATTCTCTAGTTTTATATCTCTATGAACTATTTTTAATTTTTGTATATATTCTATTCCTGATAATAGTTATTAAAATAAAGCACATGCATTTATTTATGGTAAAAATATATTTAGTTGTCTCAAAAACCTCATATAACATAATAATATTTGGATGTCTAACAATTTTAAATATATGTAATTCACGTTTTACTATTTCTATATCAATAATATCAACTAATCGTTATATATTCATAATCTTAATGGTCACAGTTTGTTAAGTAGGGATATGAACTGATAATTTCACTTTTCCAAAAGTTCCAGAATATATAGTTTTACCCAATTTATAGTTGCCAATACGTTTCATTATATAATTTATAATAATCACATTATTGTACAACACACACTATAACCATTCCTAATACAATTATAATCATCTTATATCCCAAGCATTTAAATTATGTCATTTTCTAAATTAAATTCATTCACCTTATTTACTATAAACAAAAATTTGATCCCACTTATTTTTTATTTCAATTTATTATATAATTATATAATCTAAAAATAATAGATTGAATAATTATCTAGAATGAGAATATTAAATGTGGTTTAAAAACATAATATTATAAATGTATTCATATTTTTATTATTATATTTATAGATATATTTATTAGTTTTATTTAATATAAAATGTATGGATTATATGTATATTTCAGTATTTTTCAATTTTTATTATAAGGGAATTTTTATTAATTATTAGATTTATTTTTATTATAAAAGTTCCTATTTTATTAATGATTATTGAATGGATATTTTTCATTATTTTATTATTTAGCAAAAAATGAATTTTAATTTGAATCTTTATTTTATTATTTCCAATCTGTTTTAATAATTTATTGACAACCTGGATATAAACAAAAAAATGATGTTTAATGAACTTAATTATAATTTTCATTAAATTAAATTGAAAATAATGTTGATTCACATTTAGCACATCTTTTATCAACTATTTTTATTGATTTAATAATATCAGGTAGAAAAATTGCTTAATTACATTATGGATATGAAGAACATCCTAAAAAATTAGATTTTTTTATTTTTGAATATCTTATTTTCATGAAATTCTAGCATAATTTACATTAAAAACAATTATCTTTATTTTATGTAGTAGATTGATTAGGAATATCTTCTTAGATTTAACAAAGTTTGGGACAAATCTTGATTAAATTTCCAGTTAACTATTTATTAGTAACACATTAGGAATTACAAAATTAACAAATTGAAGGAAATGATGTTGAATTTTTTGGTAAATCTTCTGATTTCTTATTTTTTTAATTCTTTGTATATTTAATTATTCTTTATTAATTCTGGGTAGTTTCATCTGCATCATCAGATAATATTCTATGTTGAATATTATTATNGGTGATCCACAAGCTCATCATAGGTATTAGAGAGACCAAAATCAACAATTTTAATTCTTCATTTTATTAAGAGATTCTCTAGTTTTATATCTCTATGAACTATTTTTAATTTTTGTATATATTCTATTCCTGATAATAGTTATTAAAATAAAGCACATGCATTTATTTATGGTAAAAATATATTTAGTTGTCTCAAAAACCTCATATAACATAATAATATTTGGATGTCTAACAATTTTAAATATATGTAATTCACGTTTTACTATTTCTATATCAATAATATCAACTAATCGTTATATATTCATAATCTTAATGGTCACAGTTTGTTAAGTAGGGATATGAACTGATAATTTCACTTTTCCAAAAGTTCCAGAATATATAGTTTTACCCAATTTATAGTTGCCAATACGTTTCATTATATAATTTATAATAATCACATTATTGTACAACACACACTATAACCATTCCTAATACAATTATAATCATCTTATATCCCAAGCATTTAAATTATGTCATTTTCTAAATTAAATTCATTCACCTTATTTACTATAAACAAAAATTTGATCCCACTTATTTTTTATTTCAATTTATTATATAATTATATAATCTAAAAATAATAGATTGAATAATTATCTAGAATGAGAATATTAAATGTGGTTTAAAAACATAATATTATAAATGTATTCATATTTTTATTATTATATTTATAGATAATTATTAGATTTATTTTTATTATAAAAGTTCCTATTTTATTAATGATTATTGAATGGATATTTTTCATTATTTTATTATTTAGCAAAAAATGAATTTTAATTTGAATCTTTATTTTATTATTTCCAATCTGTTTTAATAATTTATTGACAACCTGGATATAAACAAAAAAATGATGTTTAATGAACTTAATTATAATTTTCATTAAATTAAATTGAAAATAATGTTGATTCACATTTAGCACATCTTTTATCAACTATTTTTATTGATTTAATAATATCAGGTAGAAAAATTGCTTAATTACATTATGGATATGAAGAACATCCTAAAAAATTAGATTTTTTTATTTTTGAATATCTTATTTTCATGAAATTCTAGCATAATTTACATTAAAAACAATTATCTTTATTTTATGTAGTAGATTGATTAGGAATATCTTCTTAGATTTAACAAAGTTTGGGACAAATCTTGATTAAATTTCCAGTTAACTATTTATTAGTAACACATTAGGAATTACAAAATTAACAAATTGAAGGAAATGATGTTGAATTTTTTGGTAAATCTTCTGATTTCTTATTTTTTTAATTCTTTGTATATTTAATTATTCTTTATTAATTCTGGGTAGTTTCATCTGCATCATCAGATAATATTCTATGTTGAATATTATTATTATTATTATTATTATTATTATTATTATTATTATTATTATTATTA